TCCTCGGAATTTTCGCGAGAACGCGTCGGTCTAGTCCTACCTATATATATATTTATAAACCGTTTTCCTTATGAAAATGATGGAAAAGAAACGAACGCCGATACCAAAAGCCACTTACTGGGAAAGCGAATTACAAAGAGGGGTCTTCGCCCATTCGATATCCTCTCTAGCTCTCGTTTCTCTCTTCACGGGGAAACAATCCCGTGCCAATTTTTGTGAAAACTACCGATAATCCCACGTCCAACACACACGCTGTTTGACAAACGTCGGGGATACAAATATTAACAGTGAAATTTTCGAAAATATTTCGCCCTCGGCAAAATTCTTCTGCATAAACTTCTGCATTATATATCCATGTATCGCGGATGAAGAGAATTATTATTTTTTTTTGAAAGAGAGCGAGAGAGGCAAAATTGCGTATATCAAAATAAATATAACGTTCAAAACAGTAATCTCCATCAAATAAAGTTCGTTCCGCAAACAAGTCCGGCGTACAATAAAAACGGCGTTTTAATATCGCCGCTTTCACAAAGTTTCGGGTGAGTATACTTGAAATATTTATATACATTGTTGCTGAAAAAAAAAAGCGAACGTCGGTGTAACTGGCTAATAATAATTCACTCGGACTTTCTCTCGCGCGCGATAAATTCGTTAACGTACACAACGCGACGCGACGCGGCGCGTCGCGACGCATTATCCGCGCCGAGCATTTTTTGAGAGCGCTACACGATATACCTAATACGCTGCACACTTCGTCGGACGCGCGTCAATAGTATAACTAACGAGCTTTGGCATTTTTTGCCGCATGATCATTGACCGCGTAAAAATTTGGGAGATAAATTTCACTCGTTTCCCGAATACCTATGAAAAAAAAAAAAAAAAAAGAACAAATTAGAGAAATTAAGACTCAGACGAAATAAATCATAGAATTCAATAATGTCAATAATAAATTAAAAAAAAAAATTGAAAATATTTCAGACACAATTGTGCCGACCGCCGCGCGCGCGCAAAACACAATGAAAATTTATGACAATCTGTCAAACGCATGAATTGTGCGGCCGACCATTCCGAATTCGTTATTGTAAAACTTGATGAAGAAGAGATAGTATCTAAAATGCCTGATTAAAATATTAATTTGTTCGCAAAATTTAATTACTGATATTCCTCGCCGCGGCTGAGACTGTTTTTTTTACGGAAGCTCGCGGTGTTCCCATTATCAATTCAACAATTTATAATCCTTTCTCCCCTTTATAAATGTAATAGGATAAACAAATAAAATTTAATGCACACGCGCACGGGCTTTGCGCGCGGGTATTTCTTTAACATTAATTTATCAGCCTTAGAACTTTATTTACATCGTCATTTAGCTGGCAATTTAGGATGCTCTTTTATAGGATGTAATTTTTGCTTAATTTTTTTCTCTCCCACATTATTTAGCGCGACGTCAAAACTGCTGTGACGTTCGCTTTATATAGGCCAACACCATCGATTCGACAACAAATTATTTACGCTCTTCTACCTCACACTCTCACGTTCGCTTCTTTATATTCGTTATATAATATTAAAAAAAAATATGTTACAGATAAATAAATAATGATCTGGGTAAAAGCTCATAAAAATCATTACCGAACAATTACCGAAATGAAAAATTTTGGTTGAAAAAGTGAAGTGAGGGCGGGAGTAGCAGCAATCAATGTTCGACACTCGAAGTTTCGCGTATATCGAGCGTGTTCCAATCAGAAACGCGTCTTCAGAGCGCGTTCCACTGAGAAACGCGTTGTTCTCTCATCGCGTAACTTCAAGTGTTCAGGCATTATAGTGTCCCCGTCTGTACGAGCACATAGAAATTCTAACAGAATGTAATTAATAAAAACAGCACTAAAACAAAAAAATAGTAACAGAAGTACCGGGCGGTGATAAAGGATAGCGTTATTATCGCTGTTTTAATACTTCCATTAAGACATTCGTAGAAATTCGAGCGCTAAGGAATACGAAAGCTATATATATAAGTTGCCACTCTCTGCTGCCACTACGTCCGCCGTTACTCCTCACTATTTATGCATACGCGGGAGTGATATCACTGGACGGATTAATTTATGAACGGCGTGGTCCCATCACGTGTACCCGGTGGCGTTGACGGCGATAAATTCAGCGGCATGCGTGCCCGTGAATTTTCGACCCGGCGGGGAAAACCGCCTCCCTGCAGTCTCTTACCCCGGGGGGACCGACGGAAAGTCGGCCCCCCCGTTTAATTTCGCGCGTCGATGTTGACGCGGCGGCGACACGTCGCGGCGGCGGTCCGCCGCGCGCCACCGGCCACGGGGTCCCAGGGCATGAATAATACGCGCATCGGCGCGGGCTAGAATAATTTCACGTTGAATTCAAATCCGGGATCGATGAGGCCTACTCCCGCCGACGATCTAACCCAGTTTCGCCCCTACGAGGCGTGTTACGGGGCCACGAGAGCCCGCTGCCGCGTCTCTCTCTCTCTTTCTCTTTCTCTCTCTCGCTCCTCCGCACAGGAGTACGGACCTGCGGCGAGTCGATAAAAACGCAATTTTGCGCCACCGTTCGTTAGCGTGCCACCCCTAACTCGCGAGGGGGAGCGTAACGGTGACGTGGAGAAGACCGAATTATTTCAAGGCTCCAATCCCTGCCGCCCCCTTTCCCCCGCCCTCGCGCTTCCGTGAACACGTGAACACCACGTTCAATCCGCGATTCGAAGGCGAGCGAGCCAATTCCGCCGATTGACCGCGAACGTTTATCGAGACTTCCTTTATTCGCGGTCACATCGAGTAATATTACATAACTGTGTGTTACATATATTTCCCGCGACGTGCACAGGTTTAGCAATATAATAACATTTCGTCGTGTTGCAGACCTATCGCGTATTTCGCGACCCTTTGACGCCTTGCCGAATAACTTGCGTCTCTGTTCTCCGCATCACGTTTTACGTTTATTGTCTATCGCGCGAGAAGAAAAAAAAAGGGGGAGCCGCGAGTGCCCCGCGAGTAAACTTCACATGTCGCCGAGCCGATACGAAGTGTATATCGCGACGCCTCTCTCGGAAGACGCGTACGCACCACGTGAGCTATCACATACGACGACGTCGGCATTGTTCCATTGTTCCACTCACCTCCCCGTGCGTAACAACCCCCACCCCCTCCTCCTCCTCCTCCTCCTCCACCGCGCGAAGTCGCCCTTTTACGAGGACGCGCGGCGCGCGAGAGCCGCGCGGTTGATTAACGAGCGCATCGCGTGAAAGCGCGGCGCGCCGCGCCGAACGCGGCGAGGCCTCGCATGTCGCCTCGGAAGAAAAACGTGATCTCGACACGCGTGCTCTCTTCTTTCTCCCTCCCTCCCTTCCTTCTTATCCCCCCGCAAACGCAGTTTAATCACAGAAGGGTGACAATCCCCCCCTCCCCCGTCGTCAGCGTTCGACGGATGGGGAAGTCGGCGAAGCTTCCGTACGACGGGAGACGCGCCGCTCCGGGCGCATCGGTGGCGTAACGCGGGACGCACGCGGGGAACGCACTGCGAAAATCGTGTGAGAAACTCACGGGGATGGAAAAGAAAAACTGGGAGTGCACAGTCGCGTGTGGCAAACGCACATACACGCACACAAACACACCACTCGGCGCGTACCTCGAGCGGGCGCGGGCGGGCGATCGGGCCCCGAGCGGATACGAGTGTGTGGATTACGCGCGTGGGTGCGTGCGAGGGTGCGTGTCCGCCGCGTGATAAGAGCGCACGTCAGGTGCGATCCGCGCCCCGCGACCTTCGGCCGACGAAGGTTCGTCGAAGACTGGTCGGCCGCAGGGTGGGAGGGCTCTTTTTCAAAGGCAGCGTTTTCTCGACGACGACGGCGGCGGCGTCGGCGTCGGCGGCATTGGCGGCATTGGCGGCGGCGGTGGCGGTGGCGGCGTAGCTTCCGGATGGAGGGTAACGGGCATGCGTGTGACGGATGGCACGATCGGCACCGCACACGAGGCACCGTGCACAAGGGTGTGCCAGGGAGAGACGCGCGATCCGGAAATGATAGCTTGCGGTCGTGCCAGCGCTCGCTCGCTTTGAAACGCGTGTGCGCGACGACGACGAGTTTCCCCTCGCGTGTTTCCCTCGTTCGAGTATGCGGTTTACGACGACGATGTAGATTAGGCTGCCTGTAGAGCTTTGATTCTCCACCGCTCTCTCCCTCCCCCTCTCTCTCACTCTCTCTTTCTCAATCTCTCCGTTTCTCTCATTTTCTCTTCCCAGGAGCAATCAGGGAATCGCGTTTCGCTCTCGCCGAGCTAAAAGGGAATCGCGTTTCGCCGTTGGGATTCATGCATTAACAGCGAATTTCCGCCGCGAGATTTGCAAACTCGATAACGGCACGTTATAAGTAACGACAAAAAGTTGTAATTGATACGACGCATCTCTGACTCCCCGGTCAGAGCAATAGAGTTCGAACGAACGTAGGGATCTAAAATGCGATGCGTAATAATACGCGGAAATATTCTTGACTTAAAAAAAGAGAAGAAAAAGAGTGGATTATTCCGCGTTTAGTTCTTCCACTGCGAAATGTCGGTTTGACCGCACTGCGGTAAAAGCGAAGTTATTGGATCACCTGATATCTCGCCCACTCACAGGATCATCCCTATTTTACGCTTCAAGCGCACCTTATCCCGGCGCAATCTTTTTACTGATGACTATCAAACTGCTTTTTGACATTTGGCGAGAGACTTACTATCTGTTTGCTATCAACATACACACACATCGGTACGAAACTTTTATCCAAATCCCTAACGCCACTAAAGCGAAAAACGTCTATCAATTTTCGAATAGTTCGTTTTCTTGTTAAAAAAAAAAAAAAGAAATACAGCTGTTATTATTAAAATAATATAACGACACTTCAATTACTTAATTGTACAAAGTTAGTAAAACTTGCAGGCCCATCTATTTCTTGAAAGCATGCAACGAAAACATAGAGGGAAATGAAAGACGAGTGCGAGACTCACCAGCCAGCGATGCCGTTCGGTTGTATCTCTTGTAAGAATATGCCAAGCTCGTTCTTATCCTTGCTCCGAAGTCCGACCACGCTGAATCCCAAACTGGTTCCTTCCGGTTTATACAACTGGAAAAGACATAAAATCATCTCGATCAGCGGGACATTTAAGGCATAACTTTTTCGTGACTACTTTTCTTCGCGCGAAAAATAAACACAAATAGAAGACTTAACGAGATACAAAGGAACTCTTATGTTCCATAAAAACAAGTTTTATGTCCTGTAAAAAAAATGTAAAAATCTTACCTGCACTGTGAATATTTGTCGTCCTTTCGCTGCAGCCTCGATGACCTTTTTGAACTCCTTCGCGTAAGTAGGGGTGGTTATAGGCGGCATTCCCATAACTTCCGAAACGAGACTGGGGCTGGTAACCTGTAACGAGGTAACGACAGGTTCTTTAAGGGATGCACAAGAGGATGGCACGGTCGGTCGGTCCTCGCGAAGTACGATAATGCAAAATCACCTGTGCACTCGTGTCCTCGCTGCTGCTGTGCAGTAACGGAGCGACGGGGACCCTCTGGTCCTCCAGCTCGCTGCTGTCTTGGTACAGATCCTGATACATGGTCGGCCCGAGCGGCTGCACCGGAGTACTCGGAACTGAGAGCTCCAGCTGCCCGCTGATGTTGATGTCGAAGTCGCCGGGCAGGATAGACGGATGGTGCGTCAGCTGGGTGTTCAGTTCGATCAGGGAGTCCTGGATCGTGACGATGCTGCGAAACACCGGGTCCTCCAGCAGCGTGATCAGCGACTTCAGATCCTGCGTCGTGTGCATCTGCAGCTTGGGATCGTCGCAGTCGTCCACCCGTTCCTGCACGTGCTCCAGCAGGTGGAGCGCCGTGGATATATCTGATAAATGACAAACGACAAGACATTAGTCTAAAAGTAAAAAGGTCGACGGAACGATGCAAATCACATTTATCAACATTTTTTTGCATGAGACAATCGAAATGATAAGCGCAAATATAACACTGGTATATTTACCTGCACTGAGCGGCATGGTGGCCTCCTATTTGCTCCACTGGCCAGTACCGAAATTCACACGAATCCCTCGCGCACCCAACTGAAACACACGAAAAAGAAGACGTTAATCCGTGCGTGTACGACATACATACGTGTCAAAATGTTGACACTCGTCACACGGTCAGACGCGTCGCGCGAACGTCACTGTTAGCCTCTTAACCTCAAAATCCGCGACGAAACGCTCGCCGAGCCGAGGGCACAAGTGCGTTCCTCGAGCTGGCACACCTCGGCGGACGTATTAAATTGTCATTAAGCGTAACACATCGCCCGCGGGCACGTCGCCAAAGAATCGATATGTGCGGTGCGGCGGAGCGGAGCCGCGCGCGGATGTCCGTCCGCAGGAGATTCCTCGGTTACTACTCACCTCGCGGTTCACGGGTCGCGCGAGACGAGAGAACAACGCGCGCTTCCTTCCGCGAATGCGATCCTTACGGTCTCACGCGATAGCGGGGCGATTGGCATTACAGTCCGCGAGCGACGGCCGATTGCATCCTGGCGTCAGCTGACTTCACCGAGCTATATATCCGCGTTATCGAGCTCCTCGCTTTTACTGTGTACCACACACGCAAGGGGAATCCGGAGCGGAGCGGCGGGCACGCATTCGGTCCGCGACCACGTGGTCCAGCGCCATTTTCAAACGCTCGTACGCGCGCTCGCGGGGCACGGCTCGCTCGAGCGGTTCTGTATTTTATTTCGAGCTTCGGACGATTTATTATTCGCGTTAGATTTCAGAATAATAATTGTTATAATAGTTGCTGTTGATATTATCCCAGATAGCGGAATGACGTTAAAAGACGACAGTCATGGTGTATTCTTACACCATGGACATAGTAACGTACGTCTATTTTTGTCTACAAATAGACAACGTCACTTTATCGTTATATTTTGTTACTTGAGATTAATAGATATTAAATAATAATTAATAATGATTATTAATGTTGTCCTTCATTGTTACTGAATGCAGAAGATAAAGCTTTATAATTTTTATATAGTTTTGTATACTTTGACCGATATATATATGCATGTATTACATATACCTAAAATAATTTTATATGTATAACGCATATATATATATATATATATATATATATATGCGTTATACATATAAAATTATTTTATATATATATATATATATATATATATATATACAGGGTGTTCCACCTCTACCGCATTTCCTTTTAAGAACGTGTTCCTGAGAAATTTTCAGTCGAAATGCAAAAATGTCGAGGCTATAATATATTTTTCAAATTATAAACAATTTAAGTTAACCAATATTAGCGACTCAGCTTGGAGCAAATTCGCGCTCAGGAACGGTACATCCGATGGTCCCTTTTTTTAAATATCAATACACGAAACTTTGTGACTAACTTATCGTTTATAATTTGAAAAGTATAGCCTGGATATTTTTGTATTAAAATTTTCGACTCAAAATTATCTCAGGAAGACGTTCTTAAAAGGAAATGCGGTAGAGGAACATCTCTGTATATATATATATATATATATATATGACACTTTCATATAAGTGCGCAAGTGATCACCAATGAAATAATATTCGTGCAAAGACTTCTTTCCCTCAAAATAATTAATATTTCTGAGGAAATAAATCTCATTTTATCTCTCGGCGTAACGGAAAAAAAATAAATAAATCACTTGATATCAAATTTACAGAAAAAGAAGTAGATATATTGTATTTGTAATTATACTTTTCGTATAACTGCAAATTTTAAAGATTTTAATGTAAAAGAAATTTTGGCTCAGAGAGCCAAAAGAAATGTCTTTCCAACAAGGATACTTTCTCTAGAAAAGTTTCTTACGTTTCTTAGTAAATATAAAAGTACGGTTACATAATTCATTCCTCAGGTCTTCATTCGTAACATTCTCAATCATTTTTCAATATTCATTTGACTTTATTTCAGCTGCAAGTTCCATTATTTGTGGCAAAGCCGTATTGTTGCGCTTTCAAAAGCTTTCTCTTTTTTTTTGTACCAGTTGTTACGTGTATATAAGCATTTATGAGACGTTACCACGAAAGCGAGTTATTACGTTCAGATCTATCTTCAAATAACCGTTACTATATTATTATATAAAAGATTATCAAGAGAGAACATATTATCAGACGCTCACGAGGGAGAGATTTATTACATTCCTTTATCTTTCCACCTTCCCTAACATTTCAGGCTCCGCGTCGTTATTCGCTGTCTCGAGAGAAAAAGATATCTCTTAAATATAATGCTCTTTGTGGAGACGCAAGAAAGGACGCGTCTCCCGTGAAGAAAGGCAGGGAAAAGAGATCTCAAGATCATTATTAGCACCATAATTTACGAGGAGCTGACATATACTGTTACCGAATTTCATTTTCCAGCTCATCTATTAACTTAATCCATTATAAAATATTTATTCCATACGCGCATCTTTCTTCATATTTAACATATTCCACATCATATTTCCACATCATGCGGCGTAAAATTTGTATACATTTCGAGAAGCAAGATTTTTACACAGAGAGAATTTTCTTTTCAAATTTACCCTGAAAATCATGTTAATTGTAAGACAATATAGTATTTAGGTAAATTTTACTGTGCACTACAATAAATTTTACTGCGAAATCTTATTGTAATGCACAGTAAAATTTGCCTAAATACTACATTGTCCCATAATTAACATGATTTGCAGGGTAAATTTAAAAAAAAATTCTCTCCGTGTACTTTTGCAAAATTCAAGCGCTTATATTTAATGTATGTAATAACATTCTTGATTTCCTCGCACAGCAATAATAAATTTTATAAATTCACGAACATATCTAAATAAATATACGAGTACATCTTAAAATAAATCAACAATTAAAGCATTAGAAAGTCTCTCCTCGCATTATACTCGAGTTTTTTAAAAATTATTCTTGAATTACTTTACTAATATCGCGACGATTGTACTTTTAAATTAGCCAACCACACATTTTAGAAAAAAAGGACTGAAAAAAGTATAAAAACGTTAAAAACGAATAAAATTATTAGTGGGACAGTGCAATACCTTTGTGCGAAGGGATTCTCGACGCCAGGCGTCTAATATGGTGAACAAAAGGTTACGGACCTCTGGTATTGGAACGCCTGATCACCCCCGCGCTTTATCCAGTTGATCGTTGAGCGGCTCGTTGACTCGCCACGATGACGGCGCGATCGCGTCCTGGTTGACCTCGGCTGGGAGTCTCTAATCCATGATTCCGCCGCGCGATCCGGCCTCGATGACGAGATCGAACCTACGCCGCTGGGTACGACGATCCGCGGGGCCCGCTCTGGTTGGGAGTCAGCCTCCCCCTCCCCCTACTCGTGCGTCGCCCGTTTTCCCGGATGGCCCCACGGAAACCGGACACACAATAGGTCCACTTCCGCTGCGCGCAAGGCCAGAGAAGTCGGACGTGGGGACCCCACCTGTCCGCCCCCGCGCGCCATGCTCTATGCCCTCTACTACTACGGGCCCCCTACGGCCTCTGCTACGCGGAGATCGCTCATCGGGAATGCACGATTTGCTCTTTTACCATTCTCTCTCTCTCGCTCTCCACTTCCCAGGTGTACAGGTGTCCATTATTTCCACGCTTCCCGCCGATTTCGACCGTCAGTTTGATTACGGGTGCCATTCGCGCCGCACGCGTGATTTTGGCGTACGCTCGCACGCCTTTTTCTCGCGCGCCGATCGGTGGACAGGCACGAGGGACGCCCTCAGGATCACTTCGCGATCGCGACCGGGATACCGTCGCAGGACGCTTCCCCTCGCCCTCCCCAGCAGCAATCGCGCAATCGCGCCAAAGGGTTTGCGGAGAGTTTGCGGTAAAGCGGAAAAAATCGGAGAGAGCTGTCCCTTCCGGGTAAGATTACGCAGAGTCCGGCCAAATAATATGTACATTTGTATAAAAAACCTGTTCGTGTAACTCACCGTCGATGATATTTGAACGAAAACTGATCGTGTCCGGTATGTAGTAGAGTGTTGTTCATAAACACGATGCATCGCTCGACGAACTGTACCTTAGCTGTAACAGCATGCGTATTTTTAAACTCGCGGAATTTTTAAACAGCCAGCGGATTTTTAAACTCGATTTTCTCGAAAGCTGAGCCGAAAATAAAAAGATTTTATTATATATTTTTTCTCATTTTTATTTTTATAAAGAATCACTTGCCCGACTGTACATATTATTCGACCGGATTGTGTCATATTACCTTTTTTTCGATAAGATTCTCTCGCACGATTGGCAATCTTTCTATTCAGATGTCAAGTCAGTCGCGGAATGAAAATCATTCGTAATTACTCGACTTTAATTATAATTCTATAGTCTGTTTTTTAAGAGCCCCGAGCAGAAGATCAAATCCCGCGCTCATGAGGGTGCATTTATTTTACCAGCACCCTCATGCCCCGTTATCTTTCTCGAGAGGAGATTTATCGAACCGATAAATCTGCTTGAAAAATTCGCTTCAGAAAATATATATACCTACGCTTACAATAAGTTTTACGGTAAACAGTGTAAACACGCGATGACTAATTCCCTTTGTTGTACATACAGCTACAAAGAGAGATACATTTTCACAGAATGCTGCATGCTCACATGATTGTAATGCCCATATAAGGACTGATAAAGTAACTCGCATGACTGCACAACTACTCGAAAACTCAATTAATTATTCCAATGACGTACCTATCGCGTGGCTATTAACGCGCTGGAGCGCAGTACACGCTCGTATTGCTGTAATCATGATAATTACCCGGCAGATTGTTACGCAATTGTAAGATACGCGTGTGCTATACGGATTTTCCGCGGATCCTTCGCACAGCCACGCGATTGCATGTATAATTCAATTGATTGGTATATTAATTTTCAAGCGTGACTCGGCAGAAACATCGGCCGCGAATTTCAAACATTCCTAAACACACATTGTCGCTGTGCCTCCCCCCCCCTCCCCTCCCCCATCCTTCCCACCAGCGCATCGCGTCGTGCCCGAATCCAATGGAATTAGCATGGCGCATTATACCAGATAATAATTTGTCGTTGCGTGCGAAAGTTCCATTAACATGAACGTCACACAACAATGACCGAATTCATTCCCCCGGTTCGACACGGGTACGCACGCAACAATGCCATCCGCGTACCAATAGAGTTCAAAGGACCACGACAATAGGCCCTGCGGTGGAAGCTCGCGGATGAAAAGCAGCATACGGAAAGTAAAGCTTTTCAAAGGGCTGACGCTTCCCAAAGCCCGAAATTGCGAATCGCGCGTCGACAACGGTCTCTTCAAGCTGCGTCTTTTGTCCCTTCAAATAACCCATTTCTCCTCGTATATATCGGCAACTGCTCCAGTAGAGTTCTCGCGACGGTAAATCCAAATTCCTCGGTGAAAAAATATTAATTGAATTTCGTTAACAGCCAGATTTCACAACAGATTTCACACACGACAGCGAAAATGAAAAGACACCTCGCGCGCGAGCCATATTTATTTAACACTTTTCAACGTCTCCGACCGTTTTTAATTGGCGGTCCCTCGCTGTCTGACGGCATGTTTAATTACCTCAATCCGAGTAATTTCCCGAAATAATTTGCATACGGGCGAGCGGCACGTCATAAATCCGGCGATCCGGGCGAGGACAATTGCGGAAATGTAATTTCGCACGCGGCTGCAATATTACGGCGAAACGGGCGAATTATGACGAACGGGCACCATAATTTTCTCTCGCGACCGATGATATTAACATCAGAATAAGCTTTTATACCGCGTTGTCGGTGACAGACGCAATTACCGAGGCGATAAACCATAACGCGATTAATAAGCAGCGCGCCGCCGCGTCGGTGGACACAATCGGTTGGCCGACCCGCTGCCATAAAGTAATTGGCACTCCTCATGAACAAGTACGCTCGCGCATCGACGAGTAAACATAAATTACCCCCGACAATAAAATTCTCTTTATGATACCTTGTCGATATCATAAAATTCATAAACACTCTGTTGTGACGGCGCTTATATATGAACTCCGAATTCGATTGCGCGATATATTTTCGAAATCGTATAGACCCCGATAAAGGTATAGCAAATGTAATTATACATGGACTACGTTAACATTCGTATTGTATTTTACAGACAGTTCAGATTTTACAAAAATTTAATACCACACATAAATAATTTTATTGTCATGATTTACTCTCACGTTCATATATGTTTCAACATAATAGTTAAACCGATTAATATTAAAATACCATTGTAGGAGTTGCTGCAAAATTTGCTTTTGATAATAAAACATTCAACAATAAATCTATTGTTATAATAATATAAATTATTACCCTTATTTTTAAAAATGTATGTTAATTCAGACTAATGAACGAGCAAACTTTAGATGTCGATATAAAAGTACTTTTTATTACTGAAATATACGATAAAACACAATAAAATGTTTCTCGACTTAACTTTGTTCTCTTCAGTCGTCTTACATAACAAAAATCTTGAAATTACATGTAAGTATATAAATTACAATTTGAAGAGTTCAGCTTGAACGTATTAAAACAGAGATTTTTTTTATAAGATTGATTTGATGACGGTTTAAATAAATATTATCGCGTGACAACATAATAATAATGATAAACAAGTTATAAGTCTTTAACGAAATCAAAAATTTTCGATATAGTATCGGTGTATAAAAAAATCAGTCGATTAAATAATCAACTCATCATTTCGAGAAAGTTACATCCTAATGTTGCTGGTTTATTTTAGAACCGGTCTATCGAAACCGTTTTGTTAATCTTATGAAAAAGATCTCTGTGTCAATGCGCATACGAGCTGAACTCGTAAAATTTATATGCATGTAGTTTCAAGATTTCAGTTAGTTATGCAAGACAGCTGAAGAGAATTAAGTTAGATCGAAACATTCCATCGTTACCTATTACATATTGTAATAATAAAAAATATTTTTATATCGATAAAGTTTGCTCGTTCGTTGGCCTGAATTAACATATTATTATTATTTCAAGGCGTGAAATTATTTTGGCAGATATTACGTTTGCAAAATTCTTTTAGAAAAGATATTAAGTACATACCGCGTAAACACGGTTCCCTTATTTTTGATGTTATCGATGGCGAAAACCGCTGACGAACGCACGAAGATGCCCGTTCTTTCGTTTTCGATGATTGAACCCGCGCTCTCCTACGTCAATCACGATAACCGGTCAGAGAGAGAGAAAGAGAGAGATAATGGTACAACCGGCTAATAATGTAATACCTGAAAGTTGGAACCACGCTTCGTTGACCTTACGGGCGTGTGCTAGTCCTTTGGCAGCCGCGTACGTATACGATCGCGCGAGGGTGACGGTGTGTGGAAGTGTTCAGGGTGAGCGCTCGTCAGGAATCCCATAAAGTTTTAGTACACGCTGTCCCCGCGTATATATATAATACGTACATCTCGAGTACGTAGAAACGTCCATCGGCCAGAACAAATGGTTCTCGCTAGTAGTTTTATCTGGTATTTCGATTTTTCACGTACTGTTTCTTTTTTTCTTTACACGGAGAAGGGGGGGGGACACAAACTGGATTTACATCCATTGCACCTGGCCCTCCAGGGAAATTCAGAGAATACGGAAGAAACATTCGAACGATATCGGCAAACAGCTAAGCAATAATTATTCTATCTGCTCTTCTCATATATGTATTTTTGTTTTATAGAACAATATTTTCGTGAATTTCTTTAATCAAATATCCAGCTCACAATTAAATGTGAAATAAGAGTATGTATGTAGCACGTAATTTTTGAGTCTTTTTTGTGCGCTCCCGAAGTACGTACAAACAGTTTCAATATTTTCCCCCGCGGGCACTTATTTCGTAAAAGAAAAATGCACGTGAAAAATACGTGTAGCTTTACGACGGTCGCGTAAATAATTTCGTGATCTCTTGCATTATTAAATTTCAATACAAAGCTACCCCTTAGAACAGCATTTCTCTCCTCGCATAAATTAAATTTCTTCTCTCTTTTCGAAGCGAGAAGCCACACGTACTCACGTCCGACCGTTTTCAGTTTCTACCTCTGTAATTTCTACCACTGTAATTTTACGAAAAATAACATGAAATAAAAATTTATCTCTTTAATAAAGCATATTTGGTGACGTTAAAAAAAAGTAGCATGGAAAGTTTTAATATCAATGATATTTTTCTAAAAATACCTATTTCTCTCTTTTTATACATCAAATGTTTAATCGTTTATTTTCAGCTCTTAATAGCGATTGGCATGTATGCGACATAGATACATTTCAATATCACGATGCGAAGAACTTACAGATCAATTAATATGCTGCCAGCCATTTGGATACTCATCGTGTTAGATCTATTGGTCAATGGTAAGCACGTAATAGATTAAAAATTCTTCACAATTTCTTTCAAATTAAATTTGATACAGATATTATTGGTATACATTACTCACAGACTTCGACATGTTCTATTTAAAAAAAAAGAGCTACAGAAAGAAAAAAAATTTCATCTTCTAAAAATTTTGCTCGTCATTAATTAAACACGATCGAAAATCATGAGTAAAATTTATTTTGAATTAATTAATCTGATAACTGAAATATTAAGTAACAATCATTTCAAATTGATAGGAACTTTCGTTTAAAAATTAGAATAAAAAAGCTGTATTCCGATTTTCTGTTCGGCGCGATACAATCGTATGGCGCGAATTCTAAAAATCCGTTCCGCCGTTTGGAATTTGCACGTGCCTAAATAAATAGTTCTGCGAACGTGCGAGCAAGCAAATCGAGGGATACAGAACGATGTCATGTACATACTTGCGAAACTGTTGGTCGGTGTTGTGTCATCACTATCCGTGCCACTTATGGCACTGAAAATATCGCGTTGATAAAATCGCGAAGAGCACGTGTGCGTGTTTGTCGGCTGGAGGAAGTAGCCTGAATTTTATGCGAAAAGGAAATAATAATCTGCGCTTTTTTGCCACGCGAAATAGTATATATACCTAAATAATAAAATCAGGAACGGACGCGCTGTCGCGCGTTAACCGGCAGAAACGGCCGCTAACGGGAAGACCATTATAGTTTCAGCACAAACGGTGCCCTGCAACGGCGGTTTGGGTAGGGTGGTTTACGAGAGACTTCCGGATCAGCAGCTTCAGGGTTTCGACGACGATGTGGTAAGATCGCGTATGATTTCGAAAGTACTTCGGCTTTAAAGTACGTCGCGCTCTAGTTTCTCGAGTTTGTCACTTGTCGTAAAATATCCTTGTTATGAAATATAACGTTCTCCAAAATTTTATTCGCACATCGCATACCTGCAATATTAATTATAATGTCGTGAACTTCCATCCACAATTCCGCGACGTAGCGGAATTGCGTAAGAAAGGTCGCCGCGTGACACAATTGCGAGAAGGGACTGCGTATCCGACGTTAAGAAATTCCGTTTCACGAGTGCAGATACGAGAGCCGGGGCCTCCGTTTAGGGTGATGGAGAAGTGTCAAGAGCTCTGTCTGCGCGACAGACCGTCGTCAAACAATCTGGTCCGCGCATGCACGAGCTTCGACTTCCAGCCCGGGAACAGAATCTCGTCCTACGGCGGCGTCGCCGAGTACGACGAGAGTACTTGCTATTTAACGAGGGAACAGGCGCAGCCGGAGGGCATCGGAAATCTCATGCTCGTACCGAACAGCGTGCACTTCACCGAAGTGTGCCTAGCGTGTGAGTATTCGCGTATAGGTGCAGAAAAAAATTAATATCGCCGCGTCGCGACGCATTCTGTTAAATAAAATTTATTATTTGAAATTAATAGCCGCTCGTTCATGAATTTTGCTTGTCGGAAAGCTGTAATAATTTTTTTGCTGGTAATAATAGAAGTGAAACGAATTAACAATCTCTATAAATAAAAACTTTTTTAATTCTTAATTATGACCGACTTCTATTTGTCTTTTAATAATTTTTGTTTATCAGAGAGAAATATGAAGTTAATGTTGTCTCTCATTCTCAGCCGACAGAATAGAGAGGGAATGTCCAAATCGTCGTTACGTGTTCGAGAGGCATCCGAGAAAAAAGCTAAAGCTACCCTTGACTGACATCAAAGAAGTCAGCGCCGCTAACAGAACCGACTGCGAGGACAGGTATACACGCGGGGATTAAAAATTATCGCGTCTTATACCGTCAAAGGAATAGCATTTTCATTTTGCGTTTAGGTGCCTTAACGAGTTCAGTTTTGTCTGCCGATCGGCGACATTCGACACTGCCCTCAGGAGTTGCTCTCTCAGTCGTTTCACCAGAAGAACACATTCCGAATTACTGGAGGACGATCCGAATTCTGATTATCTGGAAAATACTTGCCTTAATGGTATGTTCCTGATTAATTTTTGCACAAAGCATTTATGTGTCTCATCGCATAAAGTTGCGTCAGAAATTTTCTCGTAATAATTTAAAAATCAGCGTATTAAATATATCGAGAAATATCATGTACATATTTTATATTAATTATGTAATTGTATTAATAAATAATAATACAATTCTTTATTATTAATACTAAGCATGTATTAATAGTATTTATATAATCATTAAAATTCAAGAAATATCTTTTTAAACGTATGATCAGCCGAAAGGCGATGCGACGGGCTCGCAGTGTTCGTCAAGGAGGAAAACAAAAGTTTACGCGGTCCGTTTGAGGTGGACTTATATACGAATCTCACTTTGGACGAATGTCAGGCGCTATGTCTCAGAGCGGAGAAATACTTCTGTCGCAGCGTCGAGTTTGACGAGCAAACTCGGCAGTGCGTCATATCCGAGGAGGATTCCGTCTCGCAAAAAGACGACATTGGAGTTAGCAACAGCATCAGTCGTCACTTTTACGATTTGGTGTGCTTAGATAATCGTGAGTACTATTTTAATATTGGTTATTAATATTGTTAAATACTAGCTCTCTTTTGTGCCGGTCTCTGTTGTAGTCTGCGACTATTCGTCTCATTACGTAAGTAACGTTCGCGACAAATATAACAAATAAGATATAATTGATAATTTTGCCGGAACATTATTTAACCAAAATTAATTTTCACGTTTTTAAAAATTTGCTTCCATGAAAGTACTTTTTTTTCTTCATTTTAATTTCACTAAAAACCTTAGTTTATTTTACTAATTGCTACACCTTTTCATAATTTTTTAATTTACTAATTTGGTTTCGGTGTAAATACAGTAAATTTTAAGATTGAATATGTAAAAATATTTTAAAATTTCGTGTGCACCCTCTCTAAGATTCACGGTGCTAGTTGAGAGTTTATTGTACCCGACACTTTTGTTTCTACTCTGCATCATTTATACTAAATTCTAACGAGGCGTAAGATTATTTTAATTAACAATGGTCAGTTGGTGGTTCACAACTCGTTATCAATGCCTACTTACGAAACGTAGATCCGTCCGTAGCGCGCGGCTCCGAATACCCGGACAGCAGCTCGACGTCGCACCTCTTCTCCGACGGTCGTCGCCCGGACACGGCCTTCCAACGTTACCGGGACTCGCGTCTGAGCGGCGAGTTCCACTCGGAGATCACCGGACGCAGCCTGAGCGAGTGTCTGGACGAGTGCCTCCGGCAGACGAGCTTCCAGTGCCGCAGCGCCGTATACTCCGAGCATTATCACACCTGCCGATTGAGCCGGTTCAATCAGAAGGACGGTAACCGGATCATCTACGATGTCGATTACGACTATTATGAGAATCTCATGCGTGAGTATTGATTCCGCCTGTCCGCGAGAGAGGATGACGCGTCGCGTCGTGGACAGCTCCTGAACATCGTGTCATTCGCGATAAACTCTTTCCTTCACGGAACAATTTTGCTGAATCCAGATCTCGAAATATAATTTTTGTTCAATAATCAAAATAATTTTGTGCGAAAGCCAAAGTGATTGCTAGAACATCAAAACGTTTTATAGCAATGCTTATCAGTTTTAACATTCCAACAAATTATTTTGATGATTCAACAAAAAATTATTTTCAGATCTGTCTTTAGCAAAATTTTTAGATCTTTCAACAAAATCGTTCTTTCCGTGTTAGTATACGCGCAACTGATGACACACTTCGGAAATTGATATATATTCGAAAAAATTGGCGAGCAGATGTAAAACGTTAAATTTCTTAATGTTTATCGTCGTCCTATTGGCGATAAATTTGAAATCGACTCGATTCTTTTTTCTTAGGTCGCTACGTTGGTTCGTAGATCGACTTGTATCACTTATACGTGATCGCGCCGCTCGCGCCGCCTTTCGCGAAATTTCTTGAAGCAGCGCTGTATCTTCGCATTGCTCAATGTTTAATCTAACGACGCGTTGTACCAACAGATCAATATCTAGACGGCGATCGCGACGGCGGCCCTGGATACAGACCGGATCCCCTGGGACAAGACACAAACTTTGGACGACCCTCTTTAGGAAGACCCGGTTAGAACCGTATAATTAATTCAGAATAATATCGTATGTCGACGTGTTATATAAAGTTGTGTAATCATTCATGGTAACTACTGAGCAACCGCATAAATTGTCTTGATAGAGCGAGATCTTATACGATATAATCGCCGTTAGACGCGATTGTCAGCCACCATCTGTTACGATCATCTCGCAAATATCATTAATCTTATCGTTTGAATAGTAAGCTAATCCAGATTACACTATATTCACACTGTTTTCTTAACGTTAAACATGATCATCTAAGCTTGAATTTTATTTTTTCTACTATAACAATCGCATTCGATATATTAATAAAAAATGTGTTCAAAACCAGCTTAAAATTCGGCACAACACGCAGGTAGCGGCTGATATCTCGCTTCGGAATTTCCCACATGGCATGCTTGATGGTCAAACGACCGACAAGTGACTTTATTTGTCTCCTTTTTAATTTGCGAAAACAACTTGTTTGTCACTTGCTCGACCGGAAGTGCCGAGGCGAGATTTCGGCCGAACTGAGAGGGGAAGAAGGAGCAAGCCGACGCTGCGTGAGGCAGTCTTCTCGCAACCGACCCTCGCGGCACTTGCTAACGATTCGGTAACGCGGCTTGTACTCCTTTTCTAGCACTCGCTAAAAGTCTAGCAACGATACTCTTATTCTCGTTTTTCGTAAGGCGATCTGATTGGCAATTTGCACTCTTGTGCGGTGCATCGGATCGCGCTTACCTCTGTAAATATTGTAAATAGTCAAGTTTCGCGTCAAGGAATAAACGGTGTTCGTGCACAAGTGCGCTCGATTTATTAACAGACACACATTTCCACGCTCATTCCTATCTCGCGGCATTTATCCAATCATCGCGTACACGTCTACTAAACAAAATGAGATAATCATATTTAACAATAACGTTTATTAGTTACCATCATTTGTTCATTTAGCTTCTATATTACTTAAAAATATCAAATATTTTATTTGCGCATAATAAATATTCTAAAACTTTCTACAATATTTTCTAAAATACTTCCAGGATACCCGGACGATTACGACAAAGGATATACCAGCAGTATTAAACCAGATCGTTATCCCGACCGCTATCCGGATCGTATGCCGGACCGTTATCCGGATCGATATCCCGATCGCTATCCTGATCGCTATCCCGATCGTTATCCAGACCGTTATCCAGACCGATATCCCGATCGTCGTCCCTTAGACGATAGATACCCGGACAACAGATATCCTCAAGACTCCGACAATTATCCCGATCGGTATCCTCTTGGTGATCGATATCCTGATCGGTATCCCGCGGGAGATCGATATCCCGCTGGCGACCGTTATCCCACTGGCGATCGTTATCCCGCTGGCGATCGTTATCCCGCTGGCGACCGTTATCCCGCGGGAGACCGTTATCCTATGACTGATCGTTACCCAGTTGGCGACCGTTATCCAGACCGATATCCTATATCCGACCGATATCCCGTTCGGGGAGGAGATCGACGTCCCAGTGTTAATGGTGTCAATAGATATCCCGACGCCGGAACTCTAGGGAGGTATCCCCCGAATGACCGATATCCCGCGAGTGACCGATATCCCGTGATACACGGGGTCCGCGTGACTTCAAGCCGATATCCTATCGATATGGTCGATCGGTATCCCAACATGATCGATCGGTATCCTTATCCGGAAGACCCCATGGACCGATATCCTCTGGGACTAGGTGACAGATCTCCTGCCGATCGATATCCAGCTAGCGGGAGATATCCGGAGAAAGACCCTTATGCCAACCGGTAAGCCACGAAATTAGACGTGATCGTGTCGAATTTAAATATTTTTCTCGCGTATCTTATAATAACTTTTCTATTAAATACATTGTCTGCTCAGTAAGTTCTGATTTTAGCGTATGAAAAATATGCCGTTGAAAAGTTAAGTGCTGGTCACAGATGATCATGATGGCAATCAAATTACGTAATCTTATTGAAAATAAAAATCCACGATTTGTCACGGAAAAATGACGTTGCGATTCAATCAAACAGCAGGTATCCGCCTGGCGGCGGAATGTACTCGCACGGATTCTTCGACGACGTTCGCGGTCCCCAGAGCCACGGTGCCGAGCAGCGACCTTACGCCGGCGGGCCTTACGGCCCGGCGCGACCCGTCGGCGGATACGGCGGCGGATACAGCGGCGGCGGCGGCGGCGGCGGCAGCGGCGGCGGTGGCGGCGGCGGCGGCGACGGCGGTGTCATTGGTGGCGGATACATAGGCGAAGGCGGCGTCTACAACACTCGTCCGTTTGGAACTGCCGGCGGGCCCATCATAGGCAGACCCCCGTTGGTGTCCAGGTGCGACGAGCAGGACAACTTCAGGCAGGTCGGGTCTCACACCAGAGTGCGGAAGCCGTTCGTTAGGCGGTACACGACCTCCTCGTCGTTGGGTCAGTGCGAGAGAGAGTGCGCCGACGCCAGAGACTTCGTTTGCAGGTAACAATAATGGTCGAACTTGTACAAGTAAATGTAATTAAATTCGATCGAAAAGTAGTGAGTTTTTCGACGAGCAATTAATTCGAGAGATACACTTGATATAGATGAAGCTTCATTTCTCTGCTACTTTTTCAGGTTTAAATCTAACTGCGTAAGCGGTCTAGCGAAAATTAAAAACAACATCTAATCCGAATTAAACGATTCAAGTGGTAGTAAGCTATGTAGCTGATTTGAGTAGCAATTTTTATGGTAATGTGAGGGAGAAGCGTAGTAACATTACTTAGCAATTATAAAACTGATTAATATTTGAGGCAAATAGAAATTACGTAAAAAAATAAAATTAAATTCGGTTATCATGCTTGTATCAGTAATACGGAAAATACAAGCTAATTATACAAAAACACAAAAAGTAGGAGATAAGTTCTTCGATTCGAAAGATGTAGCTACAACGACGAAATTCGTAGAAATTCCGACAGTTGATTCAGGAGACGCCTGTGACCCGGGGTGCTCGAAATTGAATTAGGAATGATTCGATGGGACGTTTGTTTGCGCAATCGATCGGACAAATTCGCTCGCAAATTCCCAACGTCATTTGCAGGTCCTTCAATTACCGGCCGTACGCCGCGCCTTACGGGGCCGAAAGGGACAACTGCGAGCTCAGCGACCGGGACTCCAGGGACATGGACATGGGCAATCCGGTTTATTACGACTCGGGCTCCGATTACGACTTTTACGAGAGGAACAACGGCCGCCAGGGCGCGGACGGGGAATGTCTGGACGGTAAGCGGCCGCCTCTGTTCGTGAGGCGCCAGTACGAAAGCGCAAAACACGCACGACCGCACTATAGGCACCTACAGGGTTGAAACACGTATGCTCAACGTAGAAATAAAATGTCCGGATTAGTATACCTGCACGGAGTGTGGTGGCTTATTACATCTACACGGAGTAGTATAGATATAATTAAAACACATTGTAGACAGCAGATATCTATAAAATGAGATAATTTCTCTTCTAGAATTAAGCTGCACACTAATTTAAACACGTTATTGTACATACAATTCTGCACCATTGTTACACGACTTCACCTTTACGAAATAAATCTCTAATACTGTTTTTTTTTTTTTCAATTTATACTTCTTCCTCTCGCACGTCGCATGTGCACAACCTATACGCAATATCCACGCACCAACACCATGTCTACATGCCAAGGGTCGACGGTGTATGTGACACAATTTTATGGCCATCCCCGCTCAACTGATTTCCCGCATCCCTTTTTTAATACAATGCTAATAGAGAAGCAATGCGGTCTTCGGCAATAATCTGACGCAATGAAACTTACGTGTGTACCTTATTTGACTTCTAATCCTTTTATTGACCACCAATTTCGATTTAATTAACTTCGCACCGTCGCGCACCTCCCCAGTCGACAGTTTTCCGGAAGCCACGCGGACCCCGACGAATTACGGTCTGTTACGCTTCTAGTGAGCCAAGTCTGTAGCGAGGACGGGATGGAGTTTACTCTGAGAACGCCGGAGGGATTTATCGGGCGAATCTACACGTATGGATACTACGACCGGTGCTTCTTCCGCGGGAGCGGCGGAACCGTGAACGTGCTCCGTATCAGCGGACCTCAGGGATACCCCGAGTGCGGCACACAGCGAGTAAGGGTGACAATTCCCGCTTAACGGCTTGATCCGCCGGAGACAATTTCCGAATCTAATTTAAACTGAAAGCTTTTAACGCGCGCGTTCCGCGAAATTCTTGCGAATCGCGCGAGACACGTGGAAAATCATTCCACGATAACCTTTAATTGGACATTGAATACCGGGGCTATTTAAAATAATTTGATACTTTTAATTTTTTTTCAAGCTATACTTCTCTTTTTCGCCGGTATCTGATAGAATCGCAGTTTTTGACGGCAGTTTAATAGATGTAATGAACGATTCGATCGGCGAATGCTTGCAGTACGGCGATACGATGACGAACATCGTGGTGGTGCAATTTTCGGACTACGTGCAAACCGGCCGGGACAAACGGTTCAACCTGACGTGCATGTTTCGGGGACCCGGCGAAGCTGTCGTCACATCCGGCTACATCGGTGCCGGGTATGCCAGGTCATATCGATCGAGAGGTCGTGTCTTGCACCGAGAGTACAATCATTAACGCGTTAAGTGCCATATCGAAGGTACCCCAGGGACGCTGAATTATGTAAATAAAGCCATATCGAGAGAAGAAAGAAAAAGTTTTTGAGCCTATAACTAATGAAATATTCCTCGTTACAATTTACAATTTTGTCTAATCACATTTTTACAGGACTCTTTTCCGACAAATCATACTAATTTTAGACAAACAAGTCAAGTTCCCCCCCGGCTTCATATTCGCAAATATTGCGATACTGCTCGACGTTGTTCTAGACTCCGCTTGCTCATTAATTTTGTATGAACTCACGTATAATAATGTTTAGCGAGTTACTGCGAGCGGAGTAAAACACGCTTCGCGTGTTGCGTTACATGAGTATGTAGGTGCAAGCACGCTGGTGCAATTTCTTTTATCACATTTTCAGTCCTAAATGTCACTTGAGAATATCACTCACGCATTCTATTCCTTCGTACATTTGTTTACTTTATATTAAGCATACAATCACATGCAGTATATTTATGTTAACAGCTCGTCTACTAAAAAATTAATTACAATTAATTTTATCGAAAAATTTTGTGCCTTAAATTGTGACGCAATATTCATTTCATTTTTCGATCAAAAAATTCGATATCTGGTTGAAAGATAAAAAATTTCTATCAATTGGTAAAATTAGAATTTAAAAACAAGAGCTAATTAAAGTCAGCCCCCCACATCTTTCATGTACATTCCTTCCACCACATTTTCATTCATAATTTCTAATTCATCCAATTTCGCTAATGGGTCTCATACGTGCGCTGTACAGATCAGGGTCTCCCATCCCCATCGAATATCTCCCAGCGGAGAACACCCTGAGCTCCAGAGTGCGCTTGATGATTCTCTATCAGGGTAGACCCACGACAACCATCGCCGTCGGTGATCCTCTCACTTTCAGACTCGAAGCACAGGACGGGTAATCTTCATTCATCTTTTAACACGATTTAACACGAATGGAATTACAAAATTATATTTTAAACGGTTTAATGGAAGTATAGTAGTTTCGTGTTGCTGCATGTCCGAAATTTAATTCCGTCGACTTCAAAATTAATCTCTCCGCGTCAGACATTTCGTATTTAAGATACACCATGGTAATCGCGTTTAAATTTCAACAAATCCCAATCATTATTTTCCATAGGTACAATTATGTAACGGATATATTTGCTACCAACGTTATCGCAAGAGATCCCTACTCCGGTAGAAGTGTACAACTGATAGACAGATATGGGTAAGAAACACTGAACCTCGTAATAAGAGAAAGACGGAAAAAACGATATTACCTACATTGGAGGTAATGCAATATCGTTGCTCCATTTTTTTTAATGTCTTGGACACTATCGAGAAATTATATAATAATTGGATAATTTAAATTAAACTAAATTTAAATCGAAAAATTAAATGCGGAGATAATTTAAATTAAATTAATAAAATAATTATAGGCTCAATAAAATGATAAAATATAAGAATAAAATATGGGTTATGAGCCAGAGACCTGGATATTTAATGCTCTAAGATAAGTTAAATACAAGATCACAAATACAAAATAGACGTTTCGACCTACATCAGGTTATTTTCAATATTACAGTAACAGTTAAAATTTAGCGGAATCGGTTCATATGAGGGGTCGGTACATTATTGAATATTTTAACAATACCAAAAAACGGTATTGTTAAAATATTCAATAATGTAATATTGAAATAATGTAATATTTAAAATGACCTGATGTAGGTCGAAATGTCTATTTTGTATTTGTGATCTTGTATTTAACTTATCTTAAAGCATTAAATATCCAGATCTCTGGCTCATAACCCATATTTTATTCTTATTTTAAATTAAATTATCCCCGCAAATTGCTTGTCATAATCTTCGTAATTGAAACGGAAATTTCTGCAGCTGTCCGGTGGACAACTACGTGTTCCCGGGTTTGGATCGCCTCCGCGACGGCGACAGCCTCGAGGCCCGCTTCAACGCCTTCAAAATACCCGAATCGAATTTCCTGGTGTTCGAGGCGAACGTGCGAACGTGCCGCGACGGCTGCCAGCCGGCGTACTGCTCCGGCGGCAGCGGCAGAAGCGAGCCGTCCTTCGGCCGGCGGCGGAGGGACGTAAGTAACGATACGGTGGCGAACGTCGAGGACGAGGCGTCGCCGATAACGACGGTGACGGACGGTGACTCTAACAACGCGTCGGCGACGATTTTCAACGCGACCGACGCTGCGAGCGATGAGCTGGATAACGAAGAGGAAGAGGAGCACGTCAGGGAAATGATAGAGGTACCTCGCCAAGAACAGATCGCTTTTGCCCCCGAAAGTAAACGAGGGGAAAGATGTCATCTCCATTTCGCAATAATATCAACTATATTTTGATAGGTTCTCGACTCGAGAATGGACATTGAGGAGAACACCGTCGTCGAGAGGCAAACGAAGATGTTGGAAAACATTTGTATAACGCAAAACGAATACTACGGCTTGGTTACCGCGGTGGGGATCCTCGTCGTGCTCTTGGCCTCCGTCGTACTCTTATCTATGCTCGTTTACAGGTAAAACTTACATTACACCTATGCAAATTTATTTCGCACTTCGCGTTTCATTAATTAAGAAGACCTCCCATTAAGAGTAAATTAATCCACAAATATTGCGTAAGCTGATTAGTAAAGTACAATTAATTATGAAGTATCTTGGAGCTTATCTTCTCCGTTCTATTAAGCGAATTTAAAGTGATTCATTATTTCAGAAAATACGTTTATTCCGTGATAATGAAAAATCGTAGACTCGACAAAACCTGCAATCGTAGCAGCCATTCCGACGAGCCTTACAGCAGCCGAGTCAACAACTTTTCTTTCATGAGAGCAGGTCTTCAGAAACCGTTTCAGCCGTCGTAAGTGTTTAAACGGGCGATATCAATCGAATTTTAATTCCTGAGTCGCGTGAAAACTGCAGTGAAAAAAAATATTTACTACTCCCGCATTGATATTTAATTATTATATCGTTAATTATTCACAATCATAAAGCTTTGATTTATAATGGAGAAAATGGAGTAACAGATGGTAATATTTAATTAGATCGATCTCGAGATCAATGAGCAATGCCATCAGCCAACGTCTCGCCTCGTCGCCCACCACTCTGGAGGGTGCTGTGGGATTGTCCACCGGCCGACGTGGCGGTTTCGATCCGAGCGAACCGATCTACACCGATCCCTCGCTCTTCGAGGTCACCCGTTGCTCGAACACCGCGAAATCGGCCCTCAGCGACAACTTTCACCTTATGTAGAAGAAATACGCGAGGATCGATCGAACGATCTTGAAAATTGCGAAAACGCGAACGCGATCCCCGCTCTATATTTATTTACTTCAATTGAGAGTATCGAAACCGACTATAACGACAACCAATCCGCGATAACAAATCAGCATTTTATACGATTTATATTCCGTCACTAGTCAACAATCCACTGCCAGTCTCCCAGCTAACGACTGTCATTTATCAATGATCCTCCAAATGGATTCCGAATAATCCAAATCGATTTTTATTATATAGTCAAAGAGATTAACTAAATTAGCATTTATGTTTATATATAATATTATTACTAATAATCGACAAGTTAAAGATACTGCTTTCCTAAAGAAATATTTCCTAAAGATGCTTCAGAAGGTAGCATCCGTTTCTCTCAAACGACATTCCAAAATGACTGCAAAATAGCATTTAATAATATAGAAATTTAAGTTTGAAATAATCAAGAGTAGAATCTTTAAGACGCAAAGAGAAAACTCGCGGTGGTATACTTAATTTTACGATAATATGGTAAAAATTCACTATTAAGTTTCCTACAGAATGTAATTTTCTATCTTTTTTATATATGTTTCTTTTAAATTTGAGAAACAAAGACGAGAGTTCTCTGTGCTCTTATATTTTAACTAAAAAAGAAACGACTGAAACAAACAAATAATACAAATAACGCGAACATCGAAAAGCTTCTCTTTCATTTATTATTCTCATAACTTCGTCGACTCTCCGTCGCGTCTGCGTTCGTCAAAAGTCACAATTTTCGTAACGTTCGTCACAAGCGAAATAATATCGCGTAACGCAATAATTATTAATTACTAGCAAGTATACTTAAAAATCATCAGAAGGTTCGTATTTATTATGATACTTTAATTTTGCATTTATGAGAAGTAAATTGATATTATATAGAGACACAACACTGCATTTTACATTTCTTACATAACCGACCCATCTTGCTTACGAGCACCAGATTCGATATTAACTGGCAACAAAAATAAAGAAAAATAATGGACTTACGACAACGCGTTTCCAACAAAATGATCCGCCTTCCCTCACTCGTCTTTAATCCTGTCAAGTTTGTAAGTGAAGAGCAGCATTCGGAGCCTAGCCTCCTCCTTGCGATAATGAGCCTCCTCCAACTTGATCCTCGCCTCTTCCTTCAACATGGCAGCGATGTCGACCTTCATCTGCGCCTCCGAAAGCGCGAGCACGTGCAGCTCGTCTTCTCTTAGCGCGGATTTCCTCTTGCGATTATGCTCCTGCACAACGCGAGGCGAGATCATGGTGTGTAAGGAACTTGAACCCTGATTTACGTGTCTTTCTCGACGCGCGATTTTCTCAACGCCGTTATCCGCCGGCCGATCGATCGTAGGTGACTCCGCGTACCTTCTTACGAACTTCTCACAATAGTCATTCATCGAATCGGGGGACGGCGCAATAACATTGCACTTATCCCTATCGGCGGTCATTTGCTTGAATGCACCGTCAGCTGCGTAAAGTCAGATTTGATTACTTCAAATTTTGATTCACTTTCGTGAAATTAGGAAGTAAGTATTATAATCTCTCCATTTATAATATTAAATATTAAATTATTATATATTATAAAAATTTGTTCGTTACTTTTTCTAATAAAGCTATAAAGAACTTTCAACTAAATAAATGAGTAAATTGAAAAATGCGGCAAATTACTTAATTTATAAAAATGTCTTTCCTCATATTTTTTTCTTCATTGATATTTTTAATTATCGTTTCATCATTTTAACTTTATTTATTTGTACAATTAAAAAAATTGATTTCCTCTACGAGCTGTGCGTTTACAAAAATTACTGTACTAAAGACGCTAAAATATTTACAATTTGAGTCTTCGCAACTATTTGTATCCTTTTTCAGGCAATTCGGATTTTGAGATCCGGCAGTGCAAACACTCTGCAATGTGAACGGCTCCGAATCCTTCGGCTCGAATACCACATTTGGTGGTAAACCGACGGTTCCGGTAGACATTGCAGGCGCTTCCGGCATATTCTGGCCACAAGTTATACCCTCCCAGCATTGATTTCTCGTCCATTTTTCGTCCTTTGTCGTTTGACAAACCGCTTTCATATTTTCGCTAAAAGATCAAAACGTCTAAATACTTATTTTCTTTGGATTTTTTTTGTATAAATTTTTTTTCACGTAAAGGCCATTTGCTAGAAAACTTCTGAACAAGGTTGAAGCAGATTTTTTCCGAACAAAAATTTCACTCGACACTACCTTCTCTACTCTCTAATCGTTCTCTAATTTTTACAAGAGAAACTCAAAATACGAATCTTATCGACATCTCAGATTGACATATTCATAAGTTAAGTTTAAATTTTAGTTAAATGTCAAGCTCGATCCCGAACGCGATTGCTTCGTAACGCTGAATTACCGGAATTTCTTTTCCTCACGATTGCGCTTGCATGCCTTCATATTCTCCCAGCAACGTCTGAGCTGTACGGCGGAACGCGCACCGCGGGATCCTACCATCGAGTTGTACTCCTCGGCGATTCGCGACCACGCCGACTTCCGTTTGCATATGGAGATCGGATCCGATTTCCTGTCCTGGATGATCTCGTGCTTGTTTATCAGCGATATCAGAATCTTCCGCTCCTCGAAGCTGTACGTCTTGCGGGTGCCCTTCAGAGACGCGGATGCCATTTTACCACGGGCACGAGCGTTCGACTGTTTCGCTAGCCTTTCGGAGCGTTTCTCTTCTTATGTTAATATTAAGCCTAATTCAGATCGACCTTCGTTAGTATCCGTTATCTTTTTGTCGAATTTTTAACTTAACACCGATTTAAATTTAAAAAAAATATCACTCCCGGGAATCTTTATTTCAAATGTAAAAGGGAACAACCTGCATAGTATTTATATTGTTTTTATATAACTTTTTGAATAAAAAATTTTTTTAGTAAATGTATGAATAATCAAATTGTATTTCATGATCTTATATTTTATTGATATAAAATAAATTGTATATATGAAACAAATAAAAAGAATAAAAAAAAATAAGGCTCATATTCAACAGAGCCAAAAATATTAGTCGTCGTTATTGATATCGATTCGATGTCGATGTGTCAATTTGATTCATTTCTGAAAAGGACAAGAGGACCGCCGATTAAAATCGACGGGGGTGGTGAAGGGCCTTTACACGCATAACGGAAAATTAATTTTTCGAAACTATCTCTTAGAAAATTACATATTTTCTAAAGATCAAAGTATCAACTTTATACCAATTGTATCTTGACAATTTATAATCAAGTAATCAATTTACTTTCAAGTTTTTGCAATTATTTTGCACTAAATCCATTTTCATTTAAAACATGACAACGTAATTTAGCATTTTACAAAAAAAAAAGAAACAATTATTGTACTTACCTATCGCATAGAAATAAATGTTGAAATTATCTTGTGATATTAGTGTATAAATAATTGCTCCATTTTTATTTAAAACATGACAACGTAATTTAGCATTTTATAAAAAAAAAAAAGAAACAATTATTGTACTTACCTATCGCATAGGAATTAATGTTGAAATTATCTTGTAATATTAGTGCATAAATAATTGCTCTTACACTTACAAAGACGTATACAAATTTATCTTATCGCACTTTTTCCGACAATATAAGATATATGTAACGATAACAAGTCGGTAATAAGAGATAATCCATTTTATTTCACTTAATCTGTATACAATAGCAACCAGCATTATAACCATTGTAAAAGGATGCAAAATATGCAACATGTTACTTTTAAAATTATATCTAATAATGAAATGAATCTAATTACTTGATTTGAAACGTTTAAGTACGATTTAACACGTATCAAGATTAAGTACACAATTTAAAATAAACGCAATAAATTCTCGAATTTTTATGCAGAAAATATGTAACGTTTAAAATAATAAAGATCAAGTATCAAACACAGGACAATTATAAATACACAGCTTAATATTTTTGCATAAAAATAATTGTGCTTATTAGCTGAAAAAAATTCGAGAAAATACTGCATATGAGCAATTTTATCATTTCGAATACATGATACAAAATAATGATACAAAATTGTATAAAGACATATTGCATATTATACATCATCATGGCTTTTATATTTTTCAGGAATATAACCCTTTCACCATAAATCCACTATCCCGTCTCTGGGGATGAGTGTGTGGGAGAGGGTTATTTTCCAAATATCGACGTAGATCGCGCAACTTTCATATATATTTTTTTATATTTAAATATGTATATATACATATATTATATATATATATATATATATATATATATATATATATAGAGTAGGCAAATGTCGCAAATCTTTAGTACAAAATTATATAATAGATTTATAAAGCAAATGTGACAATTTTCCTTTAAGTAGCATCTATCGTATACAGGAACAGAAAGTATCGTCATGTACTGTGAATAATTTGTTGTCACAACGACAGGAACATTATTCCGTATCATAAAGAATAACATAAATCCTATAAATAAACAATTAAATGAACAACATAATAATTATTGGTTTGCCATTTTACATAATTACAATTAAAAAATTTTCCATATATATATGTATATATACCGGGTGTCCTATTTTAATTTTCCTAGGTAAATATCTCGAAAAATACGCAAGATATAAAAAAACGTTTCAGCCAATCTATGGTATTGTTTAAAAGCGGAAGATGTATACTGTAAAAATAATAAGATTATTTGTTAATGATAAAAATAGAATAATACAATAATCCACTATCAGCGCTATTATTGCGCGGGTACAATGGAAATATTTATTATAAAAACATAATTATTTATTAAATGTTCAGAAAACATGCAGGAAAATTTTTTCGTATCTTACGTATTTTTTTAGATATTTGCTTGAGGAAATTAAAATGGGACATTCTCTCTCTCTCTCTCTCTCTCTCTCTCTCTCTCTCTCTCTCTCTGTGTATACATAAATGGTCTAATCATGTCTTAACTCAATATGCAATGTAATTTCTGCAAACCAATAATATTGTACTCTGTTTCACGTTATTATTGTACTAGCAAAAACAACTTTGGTGTATGTAACAAACTGTTATACGCTTTAAGTAGCTGCTATGCATTACGGCCGATTTGCGCAAAAACATGGACGTTACAAAAAGAGAATTAAAATTTGCGAACATTCTCCTTAAGAATGAAAAATATAATCGATTTTAATGGTACGCAAGTGTACCATTCGCCTCGCACGTGGCCTCGCACGCGCGTTGCAATCACCACAATTGCACGTGATATAAAGTAAAAGCGATAGATAATTATTTCTCGCTCTTGTGACTTAACGGAAATAAAATTGGAAGAAAAGAAGAAGACTTTCGCGGGAATATTATCGCGCAAGAAGCGCTTCATATTCGAAGCGCTTCCCTCTAACTCCATTCTCGGTTAATCCATTAAATGAAGTCACTTCGTTTACATTTCCACAATCATGTTCAACTGCCGACCAACCCTTGTCATACTGTGAGTACAACGTATACGCGTGTATATATACATGTATATACATCTAACATTTGTGAATATACGAATGATGAGCTCGAGTTTCGGGATCCGCGTGCCTTTAACGCATCTGTGATCCTTTTAACGTGAATTTACATCGCTACTGCATATCAATTCAACTCAGGAAGCGTAAACTCATAGTAGCGATATGAAACTTTCTGTGGCATTGTCTAGGCAACTAAATTGTATATTACACGTATACGTATGTGACATTACAGGGGGAGGGGGGGGGGTGTATAACTAGATGAAACGTAGGAAAATATTCGAAGAGTCACGATGTATATAAATCCGATCCTCACTCGAATATCGCGGATGTCCGCAGTGAAAATAAAATGCACTGCAGATCCGTAAAACTTTTGCAGAAGTTTCCGACACTTGCACTTGTACAATCAATATCCGTGATTCTTCTAGTGTATCAATTTTGAGAATCGTCAATTTTTTTGTTTTGTTTTATAGTATCGTTCGAGAGGATACCTGTAGCGTTTATTGGCAGAACTATAGCTCCGTTTACTTAACTCCGAAAACTTTTGTTCTGTATCGATATATATGATAATTACGTACTGTAAAGTCCGTTGACGGATGGCTCAGTCAAAAAAAAATGATTGAGAGAATCGCTCATCTCTGCGGCGCCATATCGCGATCTAAGTTTCTTTCAGGAATGTACTCAGTGGTACTTTGAGCAACGATTAGAATTATCGCTTAAGGCAACTTTTGCGCACCCTTTGTAACTGCGATAGCTACTTTTTCCTTATTCTTTCTCTCTCCTTCTCTCTCTCTCTCCCTCTCTCTCTCTCTCTTTCCAGTTTGCACACATTTCAGTTCTCTTCTAAATGATATAAGAGAAACGAACAGAAACAAAATGTAAATAAGAAGCATTGTACAGCTTCTCATATCAGAAATCTATTGTGCCGGTAGATATCTATCAGACAGATAATATTTCTAAACTGCATCGTACGTGTTTCCGTTCGCTCGCTTGTCTCAATTAAATATCGTTTTTGTTTGACAATGCAGTCTTACAATCTCAAAATCTGCATATTTTAGACAAAAGTTACAAATTTTATATTTTCAAATTAAATTTAAAATTTTGCAATATTGTTTTAGGAAACGAATTCAGTTATTATATGATATTATATAAATTACGAAAGAGAGAGTTTAAGAGAAATATATAATTCGAAAATATGTAATTCGATATAATTAGAAAAAAGGCAATTGTTTATATCCTCGAATTATAATTTATAATAACATATCATGTCTTTGTTATAAAAATTTTAGAGCTATTTGCGCGCGCGAGAGGGATTGCGTTCGTAGATTTAAAAAAAGTACGTAATGTCCATGCTTATAATTGCTAAAGAACAAATGTCGACCATCGTCAAATGATAAATTTAATGACCTACTTAGTGAAAAAGAAAATGGTTCTAAAACACAGCCCTAACGTGTATGACGTACTAAGAAATAGGACTTTCTAAAAAGACCTTTGGCTTCCTTTTCCAAGATGGAGCGAAATCGTTGTCGATATAGCGCGCTCGTGCGTATCCCATCAACACGGATGTTTTCAAACTTAACAACAATACTAAAGTTCGTCGCCGTATTATATACAGACGCGGAACAGTCCCGTGAATACGATCTCCAACACGGTGCAAAGATCGCGCAGAGCTTTCGCCATTTCATGCGACGAGACGAGAGTAGCATGTGCTAGCACGAATTACCTTCCATATTATCCAACAAGGAGTTCTTCTCTTCCTTTTTCATACTATTGCTCCTCGGCACACCATTTCGTAATTTCGGTTCGAAACACGGCTGCAAAAGAACGAAATTATCCTGTTATCTATCTGGCAGTCGCTAATTCCTTTTTTTTTTCGCAAAATTAAAGAAATAAATTGATTCATTTAAATTTATACAAATTTAGAAATAGCTTAGCGCACGATAACTTACTTTGAAAACGCATGGAACCATAATTTTGTGATATTTGCAAATAATTATAAAACTGTACTTAGAGCACTTTACAGGCGTCTTTGTAGGAAGTCATATTCTTAATATAAACCGTCGTTTATTTCAAGTAACAAAAATATACGGTACACCATGTTTTAGAGCTGCGCGCGGGAAAAAAAACAAGACTATAACCGTTAACATTATCGCACAATTAACACCGTACGGAGAATTCCAATTTAGCCGATTGCTAAATTGGAATGTAATGGCAAAACAGATTCAGTTCATCTTAGCATAATTCGATCGTTGACATTGGACGCACAATTAAAATGTACGCGTGAACACATTAACTGTACTCGTAAAGATACCATAATTTGACTTTGCCCTCTCTTTAATTGTGTGAGATAATGATTCAATTAATGCCGACCTCTTTCCTTCGGCAAAGTCGATTTCAAAATTATCGTTATAAAATTGGATAAAATAACAGTAAATTCATAAAAATAATTTAACGATTTTCCACTTATATGTAGAATATTGGCAATCGCATATTTACTCCTGTTGTCATGATTAACATGAATCTTTAACGCGGAAAAATATATAAAAGCGACGAAAATATATAAAATCGTCGATAAAAAATGATTGTATAAAGATGATTGAGAATGCAGTACACGGTGTAAATAATTAGAAAGTTTACCGTGTATCATATAAATTAATTATATGACAAAAATATTTTTCGCATTGCATTGACCGGTAAAAAAGTTTATATGTAAATATATATAAACTATATTTATAATATATATTTATATTTCGTTACACATTTTTTTACCGGGTATCCATTTCTTCTTAATAATATGGTATATAAAAAAGTTGAATATTATTTTAAAAAATCAATAAATTATTAGAAGTATTAGTCACAATGTAATATACTGTTCTATTCAAAATACTGTTCTGAAAGCCGTCACTTTAAAATGTTTTTAGTGAGGCAGTTAAATAGCACATAGCGCGAATTTCTGTTTTTTTTTTAAGCAGAGATACGCAAAAATAAGTACGCAAATAAGTACGATCTTTTGTAGGCAAAAAATATAGCCTAAAATCCTTACTCATAAATTAATTTGATATCTTCCTTGGAAATTAATAGAAGGCCACCTATAATCTATAATCTATAATAAAGATAATGGCTCGGAGAAAAATAGATATTTCATTTTTCGGTTCAAAGTTAAAATGTCAGAGTTTGAGTCGTGCCACCGCGTGCTCTTGTCAATCAAAAATAACATTTCATCCCCAATGGCTTATCGTAATTGCAGAAAAGCGTGATAACCGCGATTGCGAGGAGTCACGATTTTGCATTCGCAGCAAAGTGCGAGACGCGAGATTCTTAAATTTCCTTAGCGTCAGCAACGTCGACGCGACGCTATCAATTACACGGGGCGTTATTTAGATGGCATGGCACTCACAGTTTCGCAGATATTCATGTTGCAGCAATTCTCTATGGTAATTTCGCACTGATTGCTCGGTATCTGCGGTCGGGATGTGAGCGGCGTGACACCCTTACTGACCACGTAGTGCCTCTTGATTCGCGGTCGCCTCCGTAATTTGTTCACGTAGTAACTAAGTACGATGATCATTAGAAGAAACAGAGCGGTGAGGGCTACGAATATCGGTAGCAGCATATCATTCTGGAAACTGTTGGTAAGCGTAATTCTTTCGGCCGTTTGATTAGAGTCCGTACACCTGTTGGTACATAATAAAAATATTAATATATCGCATTTATGTGCATATAGATGTTTTCAAAATTATACGTATTTTCTCTCAATTTGCAACAATTTTATTTTTTAAATATTTATATTTTTCGATTTTATTAAAAATGTTGGTATTTTTAAGTGTAATTGTAATCCTTAATTTTCTGATTATTTTCTCTGTATTCTTATTAAATATTGGAAACGCACAGAATAAAATGTCAATGTAAATGAGAAATCTCGTTTTTACGTGGTATATACCTGCACGATGTTACGCTGATGCTGGGTAATTCGACGCGATCGCTCGCGCAATAGATCGCGCAGATCTCCGCGACGTCGTTCGGCTCCTCGCATCGGGCCCCTTTGGAATATTTACAGTTACAGAATGGCCTTCCATCTTGGACGGAACACTCGCCGTCGTAAAGGCAGTAACCATTGCAAACATCCGTCTCGCAGCGGGCGCCGCTAAACGTGCCCGTGCATTTGCATTCGGGAAGTCCGCGATGGTCTACAGTACATTTACCACGTAGGCAGTAATTATGACATAGAGAAATTTCGCAAAAGGGTCCAGTGAACCTGCAAAGATTATGAGAATTCACAAATTGCCTACCAAACGTGAAAATATGTAGCAAATTTAATGGATATCATTTATCTGTAAAATTTTTTTACAAACGTATAAATTTATGACAAAAATTTATGCAATTTAAAAGTTTCAAAATTTAATATACATTCGTTATGCAACACCTTTTGTACTTTTGTTATAAAATTTTTATCATTTTATATAAAGTCAGTTTAATTTCTTTTATAATGAATAGGTCAGGCTCAATCTTATTTGAAATGCTGTAGACAGTCTTTATTTCTATTAATTTATATATATATATATATATATATATATAATATAAATATATAAAAATTAATAGAATTAATAAATATATGTTAAAATAAATATTAATTAATTTAATATAAATTTCTGTCTGTAATATATTTAACAATCTACTTGCGAGCTATTAAAGCTATACTCACCCTGGTTTGCATCGACATGTGTCGCTTGTTTTGTTCAGTTGGCCGTCGTTTAGGCAGTACTTGGAGCTCTCGGTGGTCAAATCCGATTCCTCCGTGCTAGTAGTTAAATTATTGAACGTTTCAGGCGCCGGTCGTGAAGCGAGCGCTAATTTCATTTTCTTCTCTGTCGCCGACGGTATCGTCACGCAATCGATCCGACCGACGTTGTCGCGCGTAACGATGCCGGCCGGATCGGCGTCCCTCCTGGGGTCGTAGTACGATTTGAACTTGGTCGGGTAATCCTCAGGCTTGGCGTTTTTCGGCATGGTCCAGACCGCGCTGTGCACCAAATCGGACCAGTATATCGCCTCGTTGTCCACCGCCAGATGGACCGGCTGCTGACGCTTGTTCTGAACCAGCAACTCCCGCTGGCTGCCGTCCAAGTTGCTACGCTCGATCCTGAAGTGGATCCCCTCGACATCGTCGATCCAGTACAGCTTCCGCTCCGCGTGGTCGATCGCCACCGCCAGGGGCTCGTACAGATTCTCCCTGGTGACAATCATCCGATTGCTTCCGTCGAGATTAGAACACTCGATACTGGGATTCGAGATGTTGCTGTTCACCCAGTATATGCGGCTGAAAGAGAAGTTTGCGTTTACTGTCGATTTTCTATCGCTTTTTCCTCCCCTCTTTGGCTCGATATTGGCAGAACGCGAAGTAAACAACACATTAATTGATAATCAAACAACTATATTTATAAATTTATCTTTGATATAAATTCTTAAAAATATAAAATAAATATGATATTTCTTATAATTTTTTATACACAATGATAGAATATATTATAATAAAATATTGTTACATAAAAGATTTCTTTGATGAAATGGACAGCCGATCGGAAAATTCCAGCAAGACTAACGCTTTTTTCAGGCTCACATTTTCAGCTGCGCTTTTATTTCTTTTTTTTTAAATTTATTATAAAGCATTCGCTGACGGGCGAATGTATTGGGAATTGCTGCGACAGCTGTCCATATGGGATCAATTCTTGTACTGTATTTTATTTAATACTTCTATTTTATGCTACATTGCTTTATTCATAATATATCAAATCATAATGTATTGCTAGAGTAATTTCCAAATTATATATATTTCCGATATAATAAAATTAATAAAATTTTTTAAGAATTAATATACTTGAAGCCTTGGTCCTTCGATGCATTTTCGTGATTTCTATTTATATACTACGATTTACAATTTCTATTGATAACCGTTTGGCATTTCTCGATTCTACGAACGGATCAGCGGACGGTAGGAGTAATTCCTGTGACGCAGGACATTATAAATGGCACACCTGTTACACACGTCGAGGGCGATACCACGTGGATTGCTCCCGGTGAGATTGTGCAAAACGACAGGATCGCCCGGTTCACCGTTCAGCGGCACGTGCATCTTCCCGATGATCTCCTTCAAGGCGTCAACCCAGAGCAAAGTGCGCGATGGCGCGTCGAAAACGATCCCGTCGACGTGCATTCCCTTCTCTTCTACGCACACGCAATGCAATGATGTAACAGCGATCATAAAGAACATCTCATAGGTCATGTTTACGTTCCACGGTAAACACATTTTATTTCGAGCTTCCGCGCCGCAGGGATTTCCAAAGAGGAAAACACGCGCGAGCATTTTTTTCAATGTTAATTTACGTAATGTCTTCGTTATAACATTTAGCAAGAGATTGTGCGTTCTCAAAAGAAAATGAATCCTCGATATGCAATAATCGATGACGTTGATCGCGAGGTAATCCGCGCGAGGGATCTTTTCAATTTACAATTATGTCCAAGTAAATGACATTTCATCAATGAAACCGGTTTAGTTGAATCGCGCACGTGCAGTCTGTGAACCATGTGGCAAACGGAATTTCTCGCATTTTAAAAATTTGCCTTATTAAGCGAAAGCGATTTCGTTGACATTTACGATGAACGTAAAAATTGCGTTTACGTGAATTTTGATACCTTCTACATTTCTTTTTCATTTTCGTATTATAACAAATCGATAAGATTAACTTATCGATAAAACTAGTTAATCAATGAACGAGAAAACTTCTCAAGTATATAACGTATCTCATAAATATACAATCAATCTTATGCAAATAAATAATATATTAAGAAATATATATTTAAATAAAAAAACTGTAATTAACAAAGATTCAGAAGATTAAAAATTCAAATTAACATAAAGGAACTGTGAGAGCCAACGTTTGATGTTCATGCAAACATTTTTGATTTATTATTTAAATATAATAAATATCATCACATCAAGATATCGTGTCCAAACAATCTTTACCCATCCTAATATGTTTTTTTAACGTATTAGCCATCACAGGTGCGCGCTTCGCGCACGCTATTTAACTTTTCACTATACAACGTTTAAATGCAATTACATTATATTACAATATTAACTCCTTGATACGCATAATTGTTAAAATATGCGATGATAGCCGCTTACAAAGTAAGGGCAATGAGAGAAGCAATCGGCAGAAAGCGCTAACAATAAGCTTCGAGAAATGTGAAGAATAATCGACATACTTTACATGCCTTTTTTTTAAATAGACTCAAAAAGGTCATTCTATTTATCGTTAAGTTACACTTTTTCGTAATCAGTAAAAAGCTTTTAGAAATGTCCTTAACTATAATCATAAGATAGAGTAAAACGCTTTTCTCTGACGGAATGCTCTCATTTTTTTTGTCAACTTGATTTGCCTAGTAAATAATAGTTTTTAAGTCTCGACTGCATAGACAAAAAAAATTAAAGAACGTAGATATCCGTTATTTAACAAAGTATTAATGATTTCTATAAAATTTTTTTTTGTAAAACCTGGAATTCTATAGAAAAATTATTTTTGTATTGACAAAATAATTTTTCTATCGAATTCCAGGTTTCACAGACAGAATTTTATAGAAACCTTTACTCAATATTTTTATTAGATAATTTTTACCTTTAGATAATGGATACCCAAAAATCGGTAAAACTGCAATTTAACGATGACTTTATGGATCTCTAATACGTTAAAAAATATATTAAGGTGGATTTGGACACGAGATTGTTTGGACAAAGATAGCAGAGTGAACTAAAAAAAAGAATTATGAATCTTTTTTTTGAACTTATACTTCTCAAAATAATCACGAGATTATTATCGTATTTCGACCTCGTTACGGTAATTGAAGGAGTTAATTTGTGTGACTTCTGTACTTACTTTTCAACAGGGGCGTTGACGTGAAATTCCTCTCCGTGAGGTCGTTGCTGAATATAGACACGTTGTTCTTTACGTCAGACAAATACATCGTTCGTGTGGTATCATCGTACGTTACTCCGGTCAGAGCAATTGCTTCTCCGATGCTGGCATGGCCCATAGGTGTACTGTTACGCGCGAAAAAGTCGATTTCGTTACCGATCACCACGGCCAAGTCTGCAGAAAAAAAAGCCTTAATTCAGAATGTAATCTCAAAAAAAAAGACGAGCAAGGCGTTTTTAGTCGCATAAAATCAGTAAGGCTTCCGGGAATAAGATTTATAGCGAAATAAAGTTCTGACGAATAAGCTTCTATTTAATTAAATCTCGATAAAATAAACATTTAAAAGCAATTGTCTTTGCAGTGCGTGCAAGTAAATTGCAGAAAAAATCGTCATCGTAGTTTAATCTACAAATCATCGCTCTTGAACTCTTATCATCGATAATAGTCAGAAACTAATCTATACCATAGATCGTTCTTGTGATTACGTAAGCATTACGTCAAGTGAACCTTGTGCAGCGCTCGAGATTGTCAGCGATAGCACGGTTATCGAAGGAAAATACCTACAACCTTAGCGATGGTATTTCCGCGCCAATTATCGGGGAACTACGATCGCACGTCGCGCGCCACTTGAGAGTCTGTTGCGTTTTCCGCGCGAAACAATTACGCTTCGATGTATTTATCGGAAAACTCATATACATTCTTTCTAAAATAACTTTGATTTTCGTTACACTTGCACACTATACATCTATTACCGAATAATTATTATGTCATAACGATACAGATTAAGATTTTGACGGACAGCAACGAGATTAAGCGCTGTAGATAAAGGAAATAAACGAAACTGCTTTAATTTGCATGTCTGATATGCATTTTCAAGCGCGGTAACGGAAAATGCACAAACGAATTTTTTACAAAGTAAAGAGTTCTATGTTACAGTGCAGTATGTGCATAATTACAATAGATGGTCACGCGATAGGATTAATGAGTAAGATAAACGCGGCGAAGTGAGAATGACGCGGAAGAAGAGTGAGAGAGAGGGATAACTAAACGACTTGTTAAGTGTCGCATTTCCGCGTATTTATTTCGTACGCGTGCACGTAGACGCGCGCAAATCGATAAGATATCGCGGCTGTTGCATTTTTTTACTTAGGCAGAGTTGTAACCTCGCCGCGTTACGAAGCGAATTTACACGGTTTATTAACCGACCCGCGAAGTTACGACCGAACGAGTGGACACTGCGGGATTATACAACAGAGATTTAACGCGCGTCGAGCGGAAATTTCTGCAGGAAATACTCTATAAAGTCGCAAACTAGCATAAGAATTTATCGCGCGCGGTCGCATAAATTATATATAAATAAAGTGCGACCAAGTGACTTATTGGGTTCATCGGATTTTTAGATGGGCTATCTCGTCGTCTCTCTTTCGTTTTCCTCGACGGCCGACTGCGAGTCAGGCGTCGAGGAAAGGAAACGCGATCGCTTATCGCGCGACGACGTTCTAGCGATAGCTGTTCCAGTGATCTCTGCGCTCCGGTGTTGAATAATACAATTGCTGGATCGCAGCTATTTAAGATAAATAGATAGATAGAGTATTTATTATCATTCGAATAGTCAATGAAACGACACGTGTTCGACGTTGCAAACGGTGCCGTTTATTAATATTAAATTCGCGCTGCTCTCTCTTCGATGCTTTTTATATAATTAAAACAAAGCGCCATGTTGCCAAGAGGGAAATAAGATCAGCGTGGAAAGAATAATTCATTGTCGGTAGCAATAAAGGACAGACTTATTCCTCTTTTATTTGTAGTTTATTATATTTATTTTTCTAATTATTATTTACATGCGTGCATCTCTACGTTACCGTTCCGTCTCCTGTGACCTCGTAAATAATGCCGTATTTTATTACCATTTATACACGTGAGATTAATAATTGCCCGATTACGATTAAGCTACCGCGAGCCAGACAGATCTATTTTTCTGTTTTATGGCAGTTCGTTATGCATTATGCATCACGAAATATCGTAAACACCGCGGCCGATCCTTAACGCGCAGCTTCCCTCGGCAACATTACGCATTACTTGCTTAGTCAGATGTAACGTTGAGAATCGTACACTCAAAATACTATTCTATTGTTCAATTCTGAATTATTTGCTCGATCAAGCGATCATCGCTTGGTTACAAGCTCTGAAGCAAATATCATTAAAAAAACCTACCTTCCAAATGATAATAACGATAAATCTCTCGCGTCAACAACGGCAAGAACGAAATTTTGCTGCGGCATAGTGACATTTTACTCCTCGGAATGTCGTTTATGGTTTCTCGAAGCTTTCAAAGCGAACAATGGAAATCCGAGCGCGCGTTTCCGCGCGTACAATTCGCGAACGTTTTGGAAAGACGCGCGAATCCACCTTGATCGAATTACCGCGGCACTGGAGGAAAAGGCAGATTTATGAAAATTAAGTTCGCGCTTTGCGACACGCCGTCGCAACTCATTTACACCACGACACGAGTCCATGTTTTTTTTCCTTTTTTCCGACTTTTTTTGTGCGAGATTTTTCATGCGTGATTCAAGACGCACACACATGCGCGCGCGTTGAAACCTTGACCGTCGCGAGAAGATCGTTATTCCGCTCGAAACGGCGTGACGCGATGGTTTTTATTTGCACATCTTCTGTTTACCAAAAAAAAAAAAAAAAAAAACCGTATTCGCCATTAATGTTACATCATGTTCACGAAGCAATAGTCAAGGAGTCCATAGCAACTGCAACAATCTTGCGATTTTTTTTTTTTCAAGACTAATCAGTCATCTTCGAGACCGTGAGATGGTCGCGTACTTGATTCTATTTATAACTTTCCGCTCGGTGGTATTTAAAATATACATATTAAGCCTAATCGTATGACGAAGATAAGGAGAAGCGGAAAAGGAGAGAGAGGATGAGATTAGAAGCTGGGGCCAAAGAGAAATCGTACAACTAATTGCGTCTCGATAGAGAAACGGTTTCTTCCCTGGTTATGTAATATTATTATTTACATTATCGTGCTCCACACGACTTTGATCTTTGACTACTGGCTTTCCCAAAGCGTGCTAGCGTCAACACTCGCGTGTACTATTGCGTATCGATTATGTCCCCGATTATCCGTATTAACGACGCGCCGAGAGATGGGAATGAACTCTTCGGCCCCCCCGATTTTTAAGCGATCTTAATTGTTTCTATTATCGCGCGCTCTCGTCTCCTCTCGCCTTCTCTCTCTCTCTCGTGCTGTTAGGAATCGGAAATCGGCTCAAGGTGCAACGGCTTTCTATTTCCTGTTACACCGCAAAACGAGATAAGGTCGCAAGGCCTCGTCCGCTAAAATACGCTCCGTCGAAAAAAAAAAAAAAAAAAAAAACGCGCGCGGGCGCTTATAAATGAGAGGGGATCCTCGCGAGAAAAGCGGAGCCTGGATTGACCTGAATTTCCATGACATTCTCCGACACCGTCGCGGAAACGTACCGGTCCCTCCCAACGATCTCGCGGTCATCGCGATCCGCCCGCTCCAATTTCCCATTGACGTTCGTGCGCGCGCGGTCGTCACCCCGGCGGCGCGACGCGCTGACATTCGTTACGTAAAACAGGTGCAAGGGCGAGCGCGGGCGGCCGATCGCGGGGCGCCGGACGATCGGCGACGAGCCGACGTGGGCGCGGATCGCCGATCGCCGTCGCGTTTCATTCAGTTTTCGCGCGCGGCGTTAAAGAACGCGGCCGCGAGCGCGCAAAAGTGGCGTACGTGACGGGCTGCTCTGGGTGAATGGAGTCGGCGCTCGTGCACCAACACGCGGGCGCGCGCGTACGTGTACGGATACGGGCGCATGGATACGGGCCGGCCGTCGTGGTGTGCGTTCGATTCCCCTCTGCGTGCGGCGGTGCCCGCCGAAACCCCGGTGCGTTTGATCGCGGCGCCCGTTCGACCGGCGCGGCGTGTCATCCTCGATGATGACACGCCGTCGATCGTCCCCGCGTCACCTGTCGCCACGTCTCTCACATGACTTACCCCAGGACCGGGCGTACGTCGCGACCACGAGGTTGCACAGCAGGAGGAGCGTGCTAGGTAGAAGATAACGCGTCTCGGCGGAGATCATGACTGGCAGTCGTTCGGTATTCGCATGGACAGACCGTGGTGTGATGAGGTGCACGAGCAAGGCGACACGGACCGCCGGTATCTCTCGCCTTCTGTCCCTCCGGCAAGTGCACGCGCCGAGAAGCGTCAAGCGCACGTCCTCACACCGTGGCGACCGTGCGCGAACTAAACCGACTGAAGTGATTAGTGAGAATAGTGAGCCGCAGTCTGAGGCCGCTCCGCTTCGAGGCGCCGCGACGCGCGTCGCGCCGCGCGTCCCGTATCGTGGGCGCCAATAGGCGGCATTTAGTCCCAAAGAGCAGAGTGTCATTTCGAATTCATTGTCTCATCCGCATTCCCGCTCTTATTAAGCTACTGCAATTCTAATAGCTTGATATTATAAATATACGCGACATTTATATGAACTTTTAATTATTATAATAATGTAATATGAAGTACGCGTAGAAATATTCTTGATGGATCAATTAATCTATGCAAGTTCAAATGTCAAAAGAATTTATTCAACATTTTCCATTCTCTGACACATTCCAATCCTTCTTTAAAAAATTGATATGAAGATATGCTTAATTGCTTCTTCTTTTTTCTTCATTTTCCATCAAGAATTTTCAATCATAAATTTTTCCTCCCATTTTATGTACCCTTTGCGATTGGCTGATAAAAATTGTCGAGAGAATCGGCCGTGTTATATACACAGTATGTTCTTTAGCTGCGCCGCGCTCTGAATCGGGCGAACTGTCCGCGCCGAATCGCAGGTCACTCTATTAATTTCTTCATAAGGTCAAGCGCTTTAATCGCTAACTGGGAAACCGTCATGACTTATTAAACTTGATTAATGTATCCGCATATTATGTACGCGCATAATATGTACCATTTATCATCATTTATCATCTAATTTATAATTTTCTGTAAACAAAGTTTATCTCGATTTTCGGAACGGCTCGCCATTACGTTAACAATGCTCTTTTGTGCACCAAATGGCAAATCTTTCAACAGACATTTTCCACGCCCGTTTTTCTTAGCGTGCTTCTCCTTTCGGCAAGTCACCGTGACTATTGTTCGCATGAAACAGAATCGCTAAACTGAAGCGGTAATCAAATCGGATTATGTAACCGCGGTAATAGACGCGTAAACGGAGGAATTAGCGCGGAGAAATCTCCTCTCTAATCGCGCGAGAGAACGTCGCTGCGTTGGCCGCGAGTGCAGTACGTCGTCTCAGGCCCTACCAATCAACCGTTCTATTTTCATCGCGTGCATTTTTCACGTGCGATTCGGAGCGGACGTCGGGGACAAATTCGGAATCGGGACTGTATCGGATCGATCGCTACGCCACTGTGCAATCGCGTGTCCCTCGGCTCGCGGCTCGTGGCCGGCACGCGCCAATTATTTTCCTCTCGCGCTTCCATTTGAACGCGCCGAGTCCTTATACCTCGGCTGGCGCCGCGTTCGCGAAAGTTTTATCACGGACTTCGGCTTGAAAGGAAAAAAGATCTTTTGACTGATAAATCTTTAAACTCGAAGAGATCGAACGTTCTTGCTTGCGTTCAATCGAGTAAAATATTCTTTCTGTGCGTCGCAACAAATTAAAACGCAATGTAAAAGTGTTTCAAAAATTAACTTCTGCGTACTTATATTACGAAGATAATCTAGATTGGAGCCATGTTTTGTTTAATAAATTCCTTTAAACTACTTTTCAAAACTATAACTAATTTATTAAACCTCCGAAACACACGATCCCGTTTCTTATCCGTTTTCATTATCTTTATTTATTTGTAATTTTTAAGAAAAATCAACAGATATCAGTTTAATTATATATGAAGTGAAAAACTGTTAATATCACAAATGTATATTTTATTTTTGTAGGTGATGTCGTCTGTGTTGCAGCAGCAATGCAATTAAAATTCAATTCCCTTAATTAATTTTCATAATAGCATGCTAATTTGTCACATAAAACTTCAAGTTGCTACAATCCACAGCTGATAAGCAAATACTCTTATCACAGCCCGCTATATTATCGACGCAAGGTTAATATTCTACTTCTATAACTTTCAAAAAGATATATTTAAAAAAACAAAAGTTGAAAGGTTACGTTAAAAATAAAACTATTATATCATCGATTAAACACTTATAGTAATTAGAACGATAAAAGTTCTGTGAAAAATGAGATTACAATTAATAGTTAAGAATTTTGCATATTTATCTTTTAACTGCGAAGAATTTTACATTTTATTTCATTCTGGTAAACTTCGAGAATTAATAATTAAACATTTAATTTTATACGACTGCGTATTCCTACTATTTTGTTAGATATTTTAGAAATGTCTTGTATAAAATACGCATTATACTCTATTCTTTAAAAGAGTTTATCGGAAAGAATTTTTGAAAGAATCTTACGTAAGAGAAAAACATAAAAATAAAGAAGATAAATAATACACTTTAGGGCTGCATTCCAAAACGGTGCTTTTGAGGAAAATTTTACTAAAAAGCTATAGTTTACACTTTACGCTACGTATGCTATAACTTTTTAGTAAAATTTTCCTCGAAAGCAACGTTTTGGAAAGTAACCCAGATTATTAAGTGTTAATGTCACGTAAAGTAAGAAATGTGTGAACGAAGGGAAAGTCGGGAAAGCGAAAGTCGGCGGGAAGATCGTTCGGTTCGAACGATACTTCGAAGATGTAACGTGCTGACGTGATAAATATCCCGGAAGTAAATCGTACAACAGGTAATCACAAATATTTCTAAACAATGTCCTACAGAATCGCAATTGTATGCCGTTATAAAATATTTCACTGTTTCGAACCAAATAAAATTTCGCATCCCGACGGGAATATTTGCAGCTTGCATTTTTCCTTCCTCGCTTTCTTCAGGTTAATTAAATAATTATATTCTTCAAGAAGAACGTATACATATGCGTTACAATTATCAAATTTACGACTCCGACTTGCGAGAACGTTCCAAATGTTTCTCCTCCCGGGGGTGTAATCGAAATTAACGATTGCGATTTCTCATCCACGTCTGCACTGTCTAGAGGGGTGAGAGAGGCGGCGCGAATCATCTCAGACTTTGCTCGAGAAATAAAAGGATCGTTCGGAAGAACGCGTGGTTTTATTTATGGAGTCCCTCGACCGCCCGAGATATCGGGACGACCGCGCCGATGGTGAAACGCGAGAGACGTCGTGCACGCGAGGAAGCGTTGGACCGTGGAAAAGCATGAGGGAGCGACCCGAACCGACGACATCGAGTACTAGGCAAGGCAGGCAGACAGGCAGGCAGGCGGCGGCGTATATTATTGATCAATAAAAGCGGCTGGTATGAGCGCCCGTGCCGGCGGCGGCGGCGACGGCGGCGGCGGCGGTGGCGGCGACGGCGGCGGCGGCAACGGCGGCGGTGGCGGCGACGGCGGCGGTGGTGGTGGCGGCGGCGGTGGCGGCGGCGGCGGCGGCAGCTGTCACTTCCTCCGCGTTTTTACGTCGCGCGCGCGGATACACGCGCTCGCCGCCGCGCGCGCGGAACCGTGTCCCCGGTGCCAGGCAGCGGCGCGCGGAGCGATCCTGATCGCGATCCTGCTAGCTGCTGGTCGTCCCGTCCCGACCGGTGGTGCGTTCGCGCTTTTAGGTGGTGCGTGCAGTCGGGGCGGTGGTGCGTACACGGCGGACCGCGTGATACACGCGCCCGCCCGTCTCTATCGGCCGCTTGCGTTTCTCTCGGCGTAAGGGAAATACACGGCGCCGCGGAGGGTGAGACGCCGGTCGGGGATAATAGTGCGAGAGGGGGACGGTGGAGGAGAGTGAGGGAGAGCGAGAGAGAGAGAGAAAGGGAAAGACTAGGGGGTGCGCAGGCACAGAGGAAACAGGAAGAAGGAGAGAGACAGAGGGAGACCGACGTGCTACGACATGTGTCCGTGCTGAGTATCGTGTCCCCGACCGTGCCGACGTGCCGAGGGTGCGCCTTGTGGCAGGGTGACCGGCTCCGCGGCAGAGGGGGCGGACGTGGAGAGACGGACGGGGAGAAAGACGGAGTGAAAATTCTTGTCGTCCCCTTCGTGCCGTTCTTCGGGGCTCTCTCTCTCTCGCGCCGTCGTCTACGCGGGACCACCGATGCAGACCTTACGGAAAAAAAACAGTCCGTGCAAGTGTGAGTAGAGAGCGAATTTTTTTCGCGCTCCGACCCTCGCGTATAACTCCGCGTTTTCGTTAAACCGCGTTCGCGATTTCGCGATTCGAGTTTGCGTGTCTTCCCCGTCATCCCCGATGGCGAGTCGACGAGGTTGCTTCTGGTGCCACCCTGTAGATCCGTTAGGGGTGGTTAGGGGCGCTCCGTAATATGGCTTCCTCGTGTTTCGCGAATGAGGTGTTTCGACGGGATTTCGCGATCGGCTGGATCGATTCGGCGCGACCGACGACGCGTCTCGCGGCGCGCGAAAGGGAGCCGCGGGGGAAAATTCGCGAATCGCGAATTCGCTCGAGGAAAAACCGGAAGTAACCCCTCCGCGGACGCGCGCGTTTATCAACCGAGTCGACGTCGACGGGCATCCGATCGCTCGCATCCCTCGACAGATGTCGACGGCTGTGCCGTGCGCGTGTTCTAGATTACTACTGGACCTTTTTTTTTTCAGAAGACGAAAACGCGCCCATCCCCCTTATTTGATTAGACATTTAATTGGCGTAATTGAAATCGTAAAAGAATGCCGCGGGGGAAATCAGGGTGCGATCCCGTTATGGAGATGAGCCGAGAAATATTCTAACGAAGTCCAGGCCGCGCGCGAGAGCACGCGCTGATTTGAAATTCTACACATCGGCGCGTGCACCCTCATTATATATTTAAAGCTAAGCGGTCGATAGTTTTCGAATCACGCTTGTGGAATATGACGGAGGCATTAACTGCGAATGCGAGGTGAAAATGGGAAAATGTCACCAAATGAATTGCCAGGACTGCAAGTCATTACGATAGGCAAATGCACACTTCATGCAGACAGACAATTTCTTGATGAGTCACACGACAGCAATTCATCATTCGCCTCCCGTTTGCACCTCAATCGCAGCTGATTTTCCGACGTTGTCACGTATGTCAGTCAGTGAGTTGCTGTTTTTTTTTTCTATCTCCTTTTTGCAACAATCACGTGAACAACTTCCCCTAAGTACGCTACATAATACAGGATATCCGTAAATAAACGGGTCAAGTTTGAACGAGCCGGACTTCTTTGATCCGTGCCTTTTTTTTGCGAAAATGTCAAGAGTGGTCTCGTCGCGATAAAAATATTTTCACGACGATACACCAAGTTTTCCGATACGTTTGACTGCAGTTATCGCGCGATGCAAATTAATGCAGAACGTATCGATGGCTCGACCTCAGAAATCTCGGATATGAGATCGAAAGAAATCGTGATGGAGTTTCAGAGACTGAACTCAAACGGTGTCTTCGAGACCAGCCTTTTCCTGAGAAAAATATATGAGGGTGAAGAGAAGGTGTCGTTATCTCGTCGTGAAAAATCTCTCGCGATAGTATAAGAGGATTAATAATTCACAATTAGACGTTCCGGGCGCCTCACGGTCGATTCGCGCTTCGACCGTGGTTGCTCCATCTTGACCGCGCGCGTCTCGTCTCATGCAAATAATAATTGTTATTGAGATGGAGGCACGGGATATACACACGGGGCCGAAGTGCGACGCAGAGCGCATCTGGCGCGGGAAGCGGAGGAGAGAAGGAAGGAGGCCGGCTCGATGAAAAGTTGGATTGGTACCGAACGTATAACGCTCCTCGAGTGCCGACAGTTGGCGTTCTCCACTCGAGGACTACGAGAGTGCCTTCGAACAAACGCTACGGTCACATTAAAATCGCAGGGGCAGCGAGAAGCCCTGCTGCGAGAGAGAGAGAAAGAGTCGCGATACCTCTCGTTTCTTTCTCTCCTTTTTTTTTCGCGCTCTTTCTACATTATTTAAGTTTTCGACAGATTTATCGTGCCCTTGTTTACACACACGCTCGATCGGTGAAGTCGACTACTTCGCGCAGTAAAGCTAATACAATTATTCTCGAATAATAACGCACAGTTATTTACGTTCGCGCTGATATTTACGTAATCCGGAGCTACTGCATGAGAATTAGTTATACATTCATTATAACTTGCGCTAATATAATCGCACTTTTGTCGATTATATACACCGACGCCGCGAAGTTATAACGAGGCGTGCAGCAGCAGCAGCAGCAGCAGCAGCAGCTGGCGCGTTTACGCCACTGTCTCAAATATTTATCGGCATTAGCCGATTTGCCAAAATGTTATCGGATATACACTTTGATATACACCAGAAACAATATTGGCGCTTCCGTTTTCCCAAAATGGATGTAACGACAACGACGCGTATTATTATCGCGGCTACGAATATAGGTATCGACCCAATTAGCGGCTTCCGAGCCATTAATTTTAACGCCGGTCTTCACCGAGGCGAGGGAGATCGTTCTCTCTCTCGGCGGGCACTCGAGCTTCTCTCATTTTATAGTCCCGCCGGTCAAATTGGTTGTACGACCGATCGATGTCAGTTTAATGCGTTCGGACCTATCGCCGTCGGGATAGCTTTCTCGGGGACCCTCTCCCTTCCTTCGCCCCCGCGGTACCAAATACGATAATTCGATCTCGCCGGGCGCCGAGCGAGTCTCCTTCACGCGAGACTGAGCGGGGCCCGCACGTCGCGGCGTTACAATGAACGCACAATCCCCTCCCCCCCGGTGGGCTGGTGGGCTTTCGTATTTTCGCGTTACTTCCGCGACGGTTCACCGTGCGGAATGGATCGAGAACGATTCTCGCGGCGAGCGACCTTAAACTCGTTGTCGTATCGCTCCCCCAATGGAGCTCCGCGCGACAGCTTTCCAGAGCGAACTTTTTAAATCTTTCGAGTGCTCTACGGTGACTATATCTTGATTGGTAATGTAACAATCTGCTTTCCAGCGAAGCGAAGAAAACTCTGAAATATATTATTCTATGCAAAAATCAATATGTATATATCAATTTATTTGAGCAAATTAAGCTGAAGACAAGTATAAATTTCAATTTTATTTGAAAGTCCTTGCTGCAATTTTAATTTTCTATCTAGCGTTTATAAAAAAAAAGAAACTCGCGACTGAAATAGATCATTCGCCGTGAACGAATCATTAATCGATTGTACACATATCTGAGATTACAATATTTTCATTCGTTTGCCTAACTGTCAGTTACTTCTTCACCCTTTCAATCGACGAGATTAACAAGAACGATAAAATGATTACGCGTATTATTTTTTCTCTTTCAGTCAAGAATGACCCAACCCGCTTTCTTGGGGAGGGCGTGTCGTTCAAAGCGAAGCTGATCGGTATTCTGGAGGTGTCGGAAGCGCGCGGCGACCGGATGTGCCAGGCGGCCTTGGCTGACCTGAAGATGGCGATTCGCGCCGCCGGCGAGCACAAGCAACGAATCGCCGTTCAGGTCAGCATAGACGGGCTTCGTTTGAGGGACGAAAAGACGGGGGTAAGTGACGAAATTATTTACGCGTGGCTTGACACACCACATCGCGCGGATCGAATTTTATGCCATAATTTATGATTACATCCTCTTTCGCAGGACTGCCTGTATCATCATCCGGTGCATAAAATATCATTTATCGCTCAAGATATGAGCGATTCGAGAGCCTTCGGATATATTTTCGGGTCACCGGATACCGGACATCGATTCTTCGGCATTAAGACTGACAAGGCGGCGAGCCAGGTAAATTGTTCCTTCATTTTCGCCCTGCTTCGTCTCTTTACGTGACACGGTAAAAAAAAAAAAAATTTCCTCGTTTAACGCAAAGATGCGCGAAAACACGAGGCAACGTGATCCACGATGAGTTCTTGTTCCCCACGAGCGACGTGCACTCGAACGTCAGTTTTGAGGAGCCTGCAGTATCTCACGCACCCTCTCCCGACAAATACGCGAAAATCTAATCAGGGTGTTGCACAAGACGCAAGGCGAGGGGGCGATCGAATTGATTTCGCAGCTCGAGAGTTATCGGGGACACGCACGAGCGATTACGATTTCGCGTTCCTGCAGCGTCGCCGCCAAACGGTGGTTAAAGTGTGTCAATTATCGGGAACGAGTAGCCGGCCCGCACGTATCGAGAGGAGGGTTAGCTGGGGGGAAGGGGGGAGGCAGAGAGCCTAGAATGATATTTGCCCGATCCGAGAAGCAATATCGACCCCGGGCGACCGTAATCCCGGATGCGTATGTAAATAATTGCATTACACGGCTCCGCTAGCGTTCGACTCCGCCCTCCCTCCGTGCCTCCGTTGCGTTCCTCGCCGCGGGAGATTGTTGCCGGATTATCCACGGCTCGCTTCGTACGTCGTTCAAAGGGATCGACAGGCAACTTCTTGATATTCAAATCCGTCGGTATATCCCACTTTTGTGCTCAAGCACCGCGCGATTTAAGCGTCGGAGCAAACGGGAAAATCCTTCCGATCGTTTCCTCTTTTTTTCTGTCTCCGTCAAAGAAAATCGAAGGTCGCGCGCAATTAACGTGTTGTTCTTAATTGCAATCGATTAGATATTATCTTAGGAACATAACAAGTAAACGAAAGAAAATTTGATTCCGATAATGAATTTTAACGAATAAATTGGAGAAGCCAGAGCAACTGCGTATAACAATTATTTCACTGAATTTAATTGCGTCATTTAAACGCGACTAATATCTTTCTAGCCTAATTAATTAGAAAAGATATTTTTCTAACGAATCTCTACTTAATTGGCTTATGTGTAATATAATATGCACTTATTCTCGCTTCATTGTGTAAAATGAGTTCGTAACAGTTCCGCTGAACACTATTACGGTATTATTCGCGTATAATACGTTGCGGTCGCAAGTAACTTTCCGCAAGACGAATATTAGACATAATAGCAGCGCGCGGAAGTTCATGACGACTAATCGGCTGCGTTAAATTGAGGAATATGTTTAACTCTGCCACGGAACGCAAGAGACTTCCGCTCTCAATCGCGCGCGCGCTGGCATAATTGCCGGGGTCCTCAACTCGCGCAATTCAATAGCGGCGGAATTATCGCCGCGAAAATGAAATCAGCCCGGGAAGCTCGCGCGACAGGTGGCAAATTAATTCAACAACCTTACGCCTTCAATTCAATTTCCAAGTTTAATTTCTGCGCTCGCCTCCTGTAAACGGGCTCCGGTAATCCTCACCCGTATATTCGGCGGCGGTCGTGTTTGACGCGCCGCTGGAGGTTTTAACCGGTCTGGAATCGCGGCAAACAGAGGGTTGTCACGCTGATAGCACGGGGGAAAGAGCGGGAGAGGGAGGGGTGAGAGTAGAACGAACGATCGAAGAAGGGTTTCGGAAATTACGGTCAACGCGCGTGGGTATTCGCGATATTTTTCAATCCCGAAAGAAAAGGAAGTTAATTCAGATTCGTTAAATTAGATAATTCAGATTCATCAAAATAATTAATGGAAAGAATACATTCTCATTAGTTGTTTTATGTAACGTAAGAGATTACCACGTGCATGTTCACAAAAATTTGATGCAAAAATAAAACGCTAAAAATTTATTAATGGGAAATCGTGCTGCTATTTTTAAGATTAAGTTTCTCGAGATAAAGACGATTTCTTCAAAAATTAAATCGAGAAATAGTCTCAAGAATATTCTTAAGAACTTTATTTAAATACATCCGACTTCGAATAGGCAAAACGTAAACGAGTTTAACGTTCTGCAACAAGTTTGGCATACCGCAAGTGGCGCAAAGAGAATCTTTTGTTTAACAGGTGGTAATAGCGATGCGGGACTTGTTCCAAGTAGTGTTCGAACTGAAGAAGAAGGAAATCGAACTGGCGAAACAGCACATAGAGCAGAATGCCATTAATGCGATTAAATTCCACACCGGCGGTATTTTCGTTGAGTCGGCACCCGACACCAAGGTGAGTTCCAATCCCTCGAAATAATTGCTGCAGTCAAGATATGTCGGCTTAATTGTTCTCTCTAACGAGTCTTCCTTTTTTACTCGCATTTTTTTACTCCATCTTCATTTCCCTCATAGTGTGCCTGAAGTATCATTATTCACGGATTCGTTTATTTAAATCGTCTAAGTCAGCTAATGTTTAACTGATTTTTTTATCTCCTTCTAACTACAAAGTCTAAAAAAAGATCAAGATTAAAACTTTAAAAGTCAATTTTATTAACGTTACCTTGCCTTAATCATTGAATATAATTGTTTGCCGCTGTCCGTACCGTAATCATCATATTATATTACAATTTAGAAGGAAATAAAGAATCGATTGAACGACAGCACGCGCGAGTTTATCGACGTTGGTGGAGTCGGCTCTAAGAGAAAATAGTACTGATAGTAAGACGTAATTATCAGAAGCTAGACGCGTTACGATAATTTGTCGCAGGGCGCAGCGGGCACCGAGTCATCGTTTCACCGAATTCGCACGACTAACTGCGAGGTCGACAAAACCGCCGATCGCAAGAACGAGACACAGAGCGGTGTGATTGCGGATTTGCTAGATCTGCAGTTCGAACTGAACTCGCTGCAGCAGGGCATTCATCAGATGGACAAAATTACGCCGGAAAATCCCGTACCGTCTACCGACGATCTATTCGAGACCGATCCGTTCGGTGATTCTTTCGCGAACATGAAGGTGCGATTGGGTATTGCGAATCTGCGAGTATCTCATCTTCTTCATCTAATTGCGCTTAGAAAAACTGCAATCATTGTCAATCTTAATGTCGGCGTGTGGAGCGACTGTATATATATATTTTTTTTTCATAATTTATCAGAAACGAATTGCAGACAATCATTCGTGATATTTCATAGAGAAAAAACGACATTTCTTGACGATATCGTTATGCGCGACGTTTTATTTTTCTGTACCTGTTGCAGCTGCAGGACACAGTTCGTCCGATTCTGCCACCGCCACCCTCCTCGACAAAGAGGGGACATTTAGAGCGACAGCATACTGTACCGATGCCGCCCGCATCGACCACTTCCAGTCCGGCGACGACGTTAGTTAGTAAAACGCCACCACCACAGAGCACGATTCATTGGTTCGACAAGGAGGCTGAGGATCTCTTCACCGACAACGAGATGGCGAACCTGAGTAAGAATTCAACGGCGAAGAAAGACCAGGAGGACGTAAGTGTCAATTTACACGTATTCTTCGCTCTATTTTTTTTTAGCAAACACATTTCTAAAATTTTGTAACATGTATATATCGTGCTACAGAGCTCGGTGGAGACTACGCCTCGTAACAGTCAGACGAAGAGCCCGCAGATCGACGTGTTCACGGAGCTGGATCCCCTGGGGACCGGTCTGATCAAGCCTTACGTGGACAAGAAGGACTTCTTCCAGCATCTGAAAAATCCACCGAAAAAAGTCCTCAAGGATCTGGTGTCCACGAGCTCCACCGACAGCTTCCCAACAAACTTCAACATCACTACCAGCACGGAAGGCATGGAGTCGACGAAGACCGAGCAGCTGTCGTCGAGGGACAGCGAGGACAGCAATTTCGCCAACTTCGATCGATTCGACGAGAACGAGGCGGGCCAAACCTCCTCCCAGCAGAGAATCAACTCGCCGCCGAAGAAGGAGACGGTCTCTCGACCGTCGATGCATCATCAGCCACTGTCGGTGTCCTTGCCGCCGGAGGAGACGACGACCACCAAAGGAACGACTGGCGCTTCGGGGGGCAGCTCGATTCTTCGCAGCATGGACAGAGACTCGACGGAGTCGACGCAGGGATTGGTGAAGCTACCGAGTCCGAAGAAGTATCTCCAATCAGTACGGAAGAGGGACTTCGACATCGACCTGCCGGCTGGAAAGACGCAGTCTGTGGACTCCAACAAGCAGTTCCCGGTGGATTTCTCGATAACGAACGAATCACCGGCGTCGCCGTTACGGTCTTGCTCGTCGGACGCGAACTCGCGTCTTTCTAGTTCGAGCGCGGAACTGGATCTGGTGCCGGAACCGCCGCCCAGGGGCGCGGGGAGTATCCTCATCAATCCACCGCCTTTGCCGCCGAAGAAGCAGGGGGCTCGTGGGGGCGCGAGGCCACCGCCCAGACCGCCACACACGGAGGGGCACTTCCAATATGATTTCCCGCAGCGCGAGGCATCGCCGTCGCCCACCAAGATCGTGAAAGATAAAACTAAAAGCCCGTCAAGAGATACCAAGGGTCATCAGTTCGACGATAATTTCAGTCCGCCTCTTCAGATATCCGGCAAATCGGACTTCACGACGAGCGCTACCTCCGCCTTCGAGGATTCCTTCAGCACGATGATATCATCCACGACGTCGTTGTCGTCTGCGTCCTTTACCAGCGACGGCACCGTCCAGGACACCAAAAAGATGAAACCGCCGCTCGACATCACGCTCAGCCAGCTGACGTCGTCGTGGACGAATCTAGACGACTTGGCTTCCAGTCTCGGCATGACCATCCAGCAGCTGACGAGTTTAACTTTGACGCAGCTCACGCAATGCTTGGCGAGTCTTTCGACAAAAGAAACCGCTGTCGGCAGCACGGAGGAAACTTTGCCAGTAACAACAACGTCGACGACGATGGAAGAGCAAACGGTGGTTTCGTCCAAACCCGCGACCTCGTCGCTGTCATCGTTGGCGATAACAAAGTCGCTCGAGACGACGATCGGATCAAGTTTGACCTCCTTCGTGTCGGAGTCTTTCAAAACTAATTACGAATCGGAAACAAAGCAGGATTCTACGTACGACAAGTACGCAGTTTTCCGGGAATTGCTGGAGATGGAGCAGATGGAACAGGAGACGAAAATCGAGGCAGACAAGGAAGAAGTACTTAATGAAAGCGCGCAAGGTTCTGACGAAGCGGAGATTCAGCCGGAAGTGCAGACCGGCGAGAATTCTTTAGCTTCGTTGGTGAATTTGACCGTCAAGCTACCGGTCAAGAGCGAAACTTTGTTGAAAGAAGGGTCCACGGCGAGGTTGGACGAAACGTCTAGCTCTCTCGCTAGTTTAATGATGGAGAAGGATAAATCGCTGGATGTCGAAGACAAAGAAGCCGAGAGGGAAAGCGACGCGATAGCAGATGCAGACGCCACGTCCGATTCGTCCACGGTCCAGCCGACAGAGATAGACATCGAGGACGATAAGACGCAGACCATAGAGTCGGATGAGAGACTGGAAAACTCCGAGAGAGGAAGCGACGCCAATGGCACGTTGTCCGATAAAGTCGGTTTCGACATACTCAACGACGAGACGAACGGCTCGTCCGTGGCCGAGAGATCCTCGACGGAAGTGAAGTCCTCGATCTCGACGTCGAGCGACAGATACGCCGCGCTGCGGGAGATCATCGGCGAGCCGGAGCCGGTGCCGATGAAGAAGGACGACGAGGAGTTGGTGAGCTCCGCCCGAGCGTCGCCGGTGGTGCAGTCTCAGCAGCAGATACAGCAGTCGAGAAGTATGGCCGAGGTGGAATTGCTGAATTTGTTCTCCGACAATCTGCCGCCACCGTCGAGCCCAAATATCTCCGCTAAGAAAGACTCGGAGGACTTGAAGGCCGTGGCGATGGACATCTTCGAAGAGATCAAGATGCTGAACACCGGCATGCATCGCGCTAAGGAGACCAAACCGCTGGCCGCGTCCTCGGGCTTCGAGGACATGTTCTGCCCGTTCGCGGAGACGACGCGATCGGACAAGGACGACAGCAAGGAGGACAGCAATTGGGCCAAGTTCGACACGGGTGTCTTCGGCCCCTCGTCCGACAGATCTTCGTGCGAGGGGCAGCGATCGATAGGCGGCACCTCGCCGTGGTCACCGGACGGCAAAGACTTCCACAGAGACATTCCGTTCAAGGGAAGCGGCGGTTACCGACACTCGGGTGACAGCGACAACGAATGGAAGGACGAGGAGGAGAGCGAGGAGAGCAACGGTAGGTTGCGAGGGGACGGCAGATACTGGACCGGCTCCCGACAGCATCCGCGATTCGACGCGCCCGGTTTCGAGGACAGATCGTTTTACGAGGATGCCGACAAGCGGGACCGCAGCTTCCGCGACAGAATGGGCAGGAAGTCACGCGGCGCGCCGTGGACCAAGAGCGGCAGCGTGCATCGGCCGCGCGACCCGTCGCCCTGGCACGAGGAGAGCCAATGGGAAGACGAGGGTCCGCGGCGGTATCCGCATCGGAAGGTGCAGCCCTACAAGGACGAGGAGGATCAATACGAGGCGCACTGGAAGTGCCGGTCGAAGCCGCCGCCGCCGCCGCCGCAGCGATGTAATTGGAGTCACGACGTTCACGGTTCGTACTACGACGACGAGCGTAAGCGGAAGCTGATGCTGTGGAACGAGGAAGACCGTTTCGGCAGCAGCCAGGAGAGCATGGGCTACGACGAGGAGGATCGGTGGAACAGAAGAAGATACGAGAGGAGACGATGGGAGGAAGACAGCAGATTCTGGAACAGAAGAGGGCCGCCGGACGCCGATTATTCGATGAGAGAGGCGTACTACTATTATCGCGACAGCAGAGAGAGACCTCACGACTATCCGTCCTGGGACGAGGAGTACGGCCCGGAACGTCCGGGCGACGACTCGCCCAGGTACAATCCGGCCGGTAGGAAGAGACACTGGCCGAAGAGACCCAACAGCGCGAACGACGGTCGTAACAGCGATATGATGTACGCGGACTCGCGCAAGTTCGGCGCCTCCAGATCCGAATGCAGTGACAACGACTCCGATCCATACCTACGACCTTCCCAGCGCTCCCGAAGCCGCGAGAGTTACTGGGGAAGCGATCAGGAGTATGACAGCTGGGTGGAGCGGCCGTACTGGTCCGAGGGTCCCGACTCGAAGAGCGAAACGATGCACCGCAAGCGAATAGCCAGGCACAAGACACGACAGGTGCAGAAGACGCAGAGTCCATTCGAGGACGATTTCGCGCAGAGCGTCGAGCACATGGAAGCGTCCGGCCCGAGTGGCGTGGTAGAGCCGCTGGCACCGGTGGACGCGCGCGTACGGCCGGTGGATGCGGCCGATCAGAAGCGGGAACCGCCGCCCGCGAGCCCCTCGTCCGGTATCCGAGGCCCCAAGGATCATCCTAGGCGAGAAATCCCCTTCCGGGAGTACAGCAAACGGTCGAGCTACTTCGAGGACGATCTCACGCCCACGGCGAGCGCGTCCAGCGACGCGTCCGACCGACAGAGATTATCGTCCGAGCTTAAGGCCACGCCGGAGGAGCTGCCATGCGACACCAAGGATCCGCAGCAGCCCATCGACGGCTTCGTCTCCGAGGACAGCGGCCGCGATTCCTTTTTCAACGGCGATCTGAGGTTCGACGATGACGCCTTCGTCTTCAAGTCCGAGCTGGACGACAACGTGCCGGATCGCGCCACTACGCTTCCGCTGAAGAACTCGAGACAGGGAAAGTACGGGCCAGGGAATAACAATAATAATAACAAGTCGGCCAGGGGCGATCAGTATATTCGGAAATCGGAGTCGGTGAATATCTTCGCGAGGGAAAACGATCCGTTCGACGGCGACGATTTCTTCAATTGATGACAGCATGTATCAAGCGAATGACGACAGTAAGGGTCGCGAAAACCCCCGCGCTGAACTTTGGTGACATTAGATGTGGACTAGATAATTGGAACTCGGATGAGAGAAGGAGAGAGAGAGAACAAAGGAACGGTTTTCATTGCACATTCGGAAAACGTCGGCGGATCGTGAAAAACGGTGGAATTCAACGCTACAACGATACTTGGTTCTCCTCTAGTCAGAACTCAGCTATAGCAATTTTAACGTAGTAAAATTGAAGGAAGACTTTGGAATGCGGCTCGAACATATCTGAAAAAATTGTTGTCGTTCGCGATTCATTACGCGACTAAAATATTTTCTTGTATTTTATCTTTTATCTATTACATTAATTTACAATATATGCCCGCGTATTTTCTGACAGATTTGATTCCAAACAGGTTGATTCTTGAAAAAATTTTACGATTTTTAATCCTTTGTTTGGAAATTCTGATAATTATAAATTTCGAAAAATAACAAAGAAACTAGTCACTATTTAACGAATCTGTATATAATATTATTGATGTATTAGGATTTGCCGAGAAAAAGAAAGAGAGAGAGAGAGAGAGAGAGAGAGAGAGAGAAAGAGCGAGAGAAAGAAATCATGATTTATTACATTTATGTATTATATATGTAATAATTATCAAATATCGTTTTATATATTTGTTTACGTATTCAATATTTATTTATTTAATCACCGTTTTGTTTGTAGGAATTTGTAAATGTGCAATTTAATTCTATTTGTTTCAAAGAAATGATTCTAGTCAAGTGTGCGTAACCGTTGCATTTGGGAGCTTCGAGGGAGATAAAACACTGACAGCGCGCGCATTTTGGGGAGTAATCAAAAGATGATTTTTATACATTTTTAACCTAGCCACGAAGTAATTACTTTGCATTAGGCGTTCGTAACATCGTCGATGACGACGATCCTTCTGCAAGCTCCCCTCCGATTCGCCATTCGGTTACGCTGATAAATTGCTCTCACGCGTGAGAGATACGAAGGGTCGTAGAATTATGTTTACACAGACGAGATTATTGCCTTATGTTCGCCGTATCTTTTAATGTTCTAGCGTGCGAGAAAAACCGGGCATGAAAAGATTGCGTATATATTTGATGCGTGTAAAGTCGGGTTGTGGAAAAGGAACTTCTTTAAAAAATATAAATTAAATTAATTAAATCTCATTCTCTAAACCTTTCGACGTTATTAATTATTTAATTGTAAATGAGAATAAGTATAATGTTGAGAGAATAATGTATTTCCAAGTCTCACACACAAACGCATACACACATATTTGTAATAAAACCTAACATAATTATTGTAACATTTCTACAAGGCAGTGACCTGAAAATTCTAGACATTGTCCAACATATGATATACTATTTTTGCAATTTGTTTCCTATATTTGACGGAGGATTACTCACGGCGCGGCTTCAATTTACATTATTCTCAATGCTTTTGATGAGAAAAATTGCTTTCGCAAACATTGTTTTTCGTGAAAGCAAAGCGAGATGTAAAAGGACGGGTGAACAAGTATTTTTTACTTGAAATTATAAATAACGTGCGCCAAGCTACATTTTTTTTCTGTCCACTTCGACCTTGTGTACAAGGCGCGCGGTGTTTGCCAAGATTTATCGCAACTTCTCCGCTAATATACTTGCATGATTTTAATGGACATTCCGACGCTATAACCACCGTGTTACAACGATCACGCCGACATTTTACACACTGTATGTACTTATGTAATAATAGTAGTAAATTATTTATCACTCGTTTAATGGTTACTCGACACTGTATTGCGAGTATGCGTCAGAAATGATAACGACAATACCGCTTCAATGGCAATTCGATTCCTTGTCCCTTCCCCCCTCCCCCTTCCCCACAAGATTTGTTGATACGGCTGATGATCAATTATACATAATCATGCAAATTTATCTCCCTGTTTTTACATACGACTTCTTAAAGGATCCGTGTAGATACAACTTCACGCACGGCGTTATTGATAAGGACAAATCAGCAATTGTATAAAGTGAAAAAAATATATATATATCGATGACATATATCTTCAACAGTCTGGACGATACTAATTATAATGACGAAGGATTTTATTAAAAATTTCAATTTCACTGCACGGTCAAAAGCTTTTCTTTTGAAAATTACTCTTTGAAAGAAATGATGATGTCCTCTTTAAATATTTCTTTTTCTACTTCTCAACTTAGAAGTAAAAGAATGACTATTTTGCGAGTTTAAAGCTGCATTTAGTTTTGCGACGTTAAATTACAAAAACGGAGACAATAATTTTATCTCGTAGAAAAAATACGAAGATTTGATTATTAGAAAGTAACTTTCTTTTAACATAAAATAAATAGGATCGACGTGCATGATGATTATTCTCGCGAGATAAATTCCTTTTTTTCATTTTTATTCAAGTATCCAAAAATAAAACAAATTTTTGATAAAATTGCTTATTTTGTAAAATTTTTACTTGAAACAAGATGAACAGATGAACAAGATAAAATAATGTAAGTATATAAATTTAATTTTTACTGATAAAACATTTTTTTTAACTTTACGATTCTGCTTCTCTATTAAAAAATATCTCAGCAACAACTGTTTTTTCTGTTATAACTATTAACACTATTAGTGAAAATTAAATTAATATTTAATAATATTTAAGCAAAAGATGATAAAATTTAATTAATCAACATATATTATCGCATTAAATAATATTATATTAAAATAATTAAAATAAAAATAATTTTTAATTAAAGTAAAGTAAATTTTTCGAACAGTAGAAAATGAAGGGAAACCCAAGTTTCTCATACAGCACGTGCGTACTATCATATGTTAATTCTGTTTCCGTCATTGTCATTGACTTAATTGTAACTTCCGAACTTTCAGCTAATAAAAATATATAAAAATAGGGATCTCAACAATTCCGAGTCCTCGTCGCGTCTAACTCGAAATTCCCTAGTATATACGCATCCTATTCTTACGAGATCCTTCAGCAAGGCTCATCTTTGCGTTTGACAAGAGCGAAGTGACAAATAAGCGCCGAGTCGCGTCGGGGTGGCGTCATCGTCATCGACATGCTCAGACCGCGCAATCGGTATGGCATGTCTCTCGGCCTCGTATGTATGTGTGTGTGTGTATATATACGCCACCCCGTTCCTTGATTTCGACCGCGCACAATGCACAATAAAAGAGCATTAGGATCGCCGGCTTTGTCGAAAGAGAGCGGCTGCACGACTTCTCTCGCAACAATGGCGCGGCCTCCACTCGGCCGCGGTGCTCGAAACACCTGGCAAACAAGGAAACAATGCGCCGCACGAGCCGCACTTCGACGGGATTTCGCGCATTTGGGGGTGCGCGCACGCTAACAAATTATCGCCCCTTCCGTCCCTCTCCCCGTCCCACCGTATCCCACCCCGTCTCTGCCCACCCCCACGGCTCACCCCTGACTCCGCCGTGTCTTTCTTGCGCTCTCCATCTTCTCTCCGCCTTCACTCGACGCTCTATCGCGAATTTCGGGATTGCGAATCGCCCGCGAAAACTTCTTGAACTCTCTGCAGCCACAGAAAAAAATCACGCAGCATATTATGTCTAAAACGTATTTTCGAAATCGAATATCTAAACAAATTGATCAAATTTCAAAATAATAGAAAACAATAGATTTTTAATGTTATTTATCGGTAATACTTTTCCTTAACATTGAAATAAGTAATTTTATAAATATTATAATGTCTGATCAGCTATTTCAGTAATTAAAAAAAATAGATATTCAAAGTTATGTTTAAAACTAGTTTAAATTCAGAATAAAAAAACATTGTAATGTATTTTTATTCAATGAAACATCAATGGCAAAAAAAAAACAATAACAATTTTATCCGATGTTGATGGACTACCAGATCGTTATATGTCTTTGCGTGGAAGGTGACGCATGAGGGAGCGAAAAACAGCGGCGAAGAGGACGGAGGGTAAAGAAGAGAAAATCAACCCGCATGTGCTCGTACGCACTCGAAAACGAAAAGTACTTTCGGGCATGCGGAGGCGGGAACCATAAAATGCATCGAGCGGCCGCGACGGCGGCGGGTGCGCGCCCTTCTCGGCCAAATGCAACTCTGAAAAGCCACGAGAAATGTTTGTAATTGGGATCGTTGGCCCGTCCTGCTCTCTGAGCTCTCTACACGTTCAAGAGAGAAACGGAGAGAAAGAGAGCTCCCTTTTTGCTCAAGTGCGCGCGGGTTCGCGTATATACTTTCGCGATACGCGCTGGCGTTTTATTTTGATAGAGTGCCATACATTCGGCGCATGTATGGTTACACACGTAAGGTACTACGTAATCCTGTGCTAAGAAAATTTTAATGTAGCTGTATTACTGTAAATAATTATTGAATCATGAAAGCAAAAAAAGGAATAGAAAAAAAGAGACATTTTGTAACAAAAAATTTAAAAACCACAACTTTTCGCATCATTATTAACTAAATAAGATTGTAAAATTTCACTCTAAACTCTAATTTAATGAGCCGAGTATTATTGAATATTATTGAGTGCTTCCTATTTTTATATAACGTTACAGTATTTTTTTTCGACAATGTTACTACTAGTTGCGGTAATAAAGTGTTCCCATGGAAGAGCACGATCACCGATAATTCAGCCTCAAGTAGGTTCCCACTTGACGACGACATCGTTAGCGTCGGGCGCGCCAACGTGTACGTCCATCAATATTTCATAAATCTCGAGTAAAGGCGGGCGAGTGTTTACCGCGTCCTAAGCAACTAAGCGAATCCTCGATCTCGTTCGCCGGTTAGCCGTAAGTGTGTTCCCCACCGGCAAATTTGCATTGAATTGAATTTCAGATTCGATCGCGCGGCGTCACCGCAATCGGGCCGCCATTCGAGGGCCCCCCTTCGGACCCCCTCCGTGTCTTTCTTCAATCCACGCGAAATCAAATGAGACGATATACAGGGTGAACCGCGTAATTTAACTATCCCGATCATTCATCACTGTTAGGACAATTAAAATTTAATCATCTTGTTTCTATCTTGAATAATTTGTTTGAGAACAGTCCACGGAATAATTTCCGATATACATATATTTTTCACGAACAGACAGTCGTCTGATTTAAATATTTTCAAAATGACGTTCAGCCTTTCAGATGGATAATCGATTTATCCGGTCGTTTCATTTCTGGCAGGGGGTATTCTACTCGAATACAAAGTTCGCAATACGTACGAAAGACTTTCAAGCGCGACACAAGAAGTATCTCCAGTTTACCATCTCCGAACCGCATAGGTAAATGGCTCTTCCTTTTCGATGCGACGGGGAGTGAGAGGGAATCGCGGAGGATATCTCGGTACCGGTGGTGAAAGTGGCAGACGCGGCAAGGGACGGGGAGCGCGGAAAAGAACGAGAGAGGACGGGGCTCTCGAGCACAGAGAGAGAGAGAGAGAGAGAGAGAGAGAGAGAGAGAGAGAGAGAGAGGAAGAGAAGAGGGTGTGAGACTCCCGACGAAGCGGGAAAACGACGT